TGCTTCAGGTGTACGCATGGATTGTTATCCTTCTTTTATTTGCCACTTAGACGAATGTAAAAAAAAACAGCTGATGTGGTGTGTCTGAAATGTGCAAACGTAAAAGCAAAAGAAAGTGTTTTTTTTTTTTTTTGCAACAACTGTTTTGCAAGCAAACAACGCAAAAAGAAACACCATACCTTACCAATAAACACAGAATTAGTAATTCAGGGAAGAACATTAACCACAATTATATTTTTCAAAATCTGTTTTTTATACTGGAACCCAGTCAAGGTTTTAGTATATGCAACGAATAATTGAACACGTTATGTCTGTTAATCCATTAGATTGCCGTGTATAGAACTGATCATCCAATGATACACCTGAATCTTATACTTTCAGAGAAAAAAGGGAGGTGCTTCTGGAAAATGAATTATAACCTTTTGAAGGATCCAGAATATATTACCAGAGTAAAGAAAGTAATAAATGATCTTAAATATCAATATGTCTCAAGTCCATTCAAAATAGGAATTATGTAAAATAAGTGATAAAGAGCTTGATTTTTTAGTGGTGAGCAGACTTTCTTTGAAAAGATGCTACTGCAAGTTAGAGGATTTACAATTGCTTACAGCTCAGCAAAGAAGGAGAAAAATGTAATGAAAATCTTGGCTAAAAAAATGACAGAGATATATTCCCAATATACTGAAAATCCCACGCCTGAACTCAAAAATCAACTCGCAACACTGAAACTAGAAGACATGAGACAAATACATATCAGGAGTGTTTTCATTAGAACTAAAGCAAAATGGTTAGTGGAAGGAGAAAAACCTTTAAAATATTTTTTATCCCTTGAAAATGAAATTATGTCAATAAAACTATGAAGAAAATTGTAAAGGAGAAAGGAAACATTGTTACGGATCAAGCTGAATTTCTAAAAGAAATATGACATTTTTACAATCAATTATACTCTAAACAAATTAACTCTCCTGAAAATATTTGAACTAAATAACATATACTGATAAAGGCAAAATCAATATATTGGATGACAACACAGCTAAACAGAGGGAGCAATTATAGATCAAGAAGCATCAATAGCGCTAAAAATATGAAGAACAATAAGTTACCCGGTTCCGATGGTTTCTCAGTCATTTTTTTTTTTTTGAAGGACATAGGACAGTAAACACCGTCAAAAGAAACACCATACCCTACAAATAAATAATAACACCACTGAGGCAAGAGTTGAGACAAGCGCAAAAGCTGCAGCCATACCCTCAAACAACTTCATGGAAAACATTGAAAAAATGTGGATTCTGGTGCGGACAACCTGACAACACCTATTCAACAACCAGAACAAACTGCGCTGACATCAAATATCAAATGCTGGGGAGGCACACACTAAGATAACTTATGTTAACAAAGGTAATTAAATATTGGATTAAGTCACTCAAAACAATTCACACAAAATATGTTAAAATACGTTATGATTTTCTGTACAACTTAGCAGAAAACAATGACTGTTGGGCACTTGAGGTTAAGAAAATGTTCTACTTCTATGGTCTTGGGATAGTATGGTATAAGCAAGGCATTGGTGAAGAAATTTGTTTTTTGAAGGAATTTGAACAAAGATGTCTTAATATTGATGTACAAATATGGTGTGAAGAGTTATCAAATAGTAATAAATTAGATGCACATAAGCTTTTTAAGGAGAACTTCATATGTGAAACTTATGTGATGACTTTGGATGAAACTATTTTCAGAACTGCACTAGCACATTTTAGATGTTCAAATCACCCCCTTATGATTGAGACGGGTAGACAAGAAAAAGGTAGAGATAAAGGGGTTTGCCCAGGTGAAATAGAAACAAATGCACTTTCTTCTCGTGTATCCTTTGTACCAAGATCTTAGAATCAAATGGTTAGGAAACTTTTGCAATTTCAATGTAAGATGGATTTATTTATAAGATTAATGGGTATAAAAGAAACTCCGATGTTATGAGGAAATTGCCTTGTTTTTGTTAAATGCAGAAAAAACAAAACTAGAGTTTACTACTACTGTAGACCATAATCCTACGAAACTAAATCCAAATGAATTAAGGGGTGGTGTTAAAACTGCTAAACGATAGTTACCCCCTAACAGCTTCAGTAGGTGTGCCAAATATCAGAGCCACTTAAGCAGAGAGGAATTTAGCAAGAAACCCCTCGGAGATGAGTCAATCTTGCTAGATCGATCTAGGTATAGGAATGGGGTCTAATATTGCTACACATGAATAGTATCATGATGTCATCCTTGCAGACCATCAGCTAGCTATGCTTACTTAATGAATATAACCTACTAACAGTTACACTGAATGGCTTATTGTGCACTAATTAAAATACAGAATTTAACAAAAAATTGTGTTGCTTAAAATCTGCCTCATTTTGAGTGCACAAATATATTCTTAAATATATCAGCATACTCTCTAAGTGAAATAGTACCAAAGCTCTTAAGTTGGGGTTTCCTGCACTGCCTGTACAGTCCCAGATGCTTGTGTTGGTTGTCTGAAGGGTTCATGATTGTCAGCAGACAAGGGTGGAGATTCTGACCTTGACATTGGTGTAACTCGTCCAACCGTTGGCTCCTCTTCCGTGGACGGCAGCAGCCGTTTCCTGAAATGTTTGTGGTGATTACTTAATAAAATCAGAGAATAAATTAAAAATTTACTGCAAAATTATGTTTTTGGAGTAAAACAAACTTCTCGACTCCAATGTATTAAAAAGATAAATAGCTTTGCATCAATCAGGACTTTTTTTGCAAGTGTGAATGAAAATGCTAAATCTATAAAAGGTCTGAACATAAGAAAAAAGGATGGTGTTTGAAATTTGTAAGCTTTTACCGTACCAGTTTTTCCAGGCTTCTAGAACTTCTCTGTCTCTCTCCTCATCACTGTTACTGTTCAGGAACAGTCTGGTTAGGGTGCCCAGGGTCTGGGGAGGAAATAAGGTAATCACTCATAAAATTTCGAACAAAGCAAAATAATAAGTTAACCCCCCTAGTATTATTAAAGGATGTTGTTTCAAAAGTTTGGGAAAGTTATGTGACTACATGTCCCTTTAAGGGCATCTTTAGATTGATTAGAGGGACAATTAACGTGCGTAAGATATCCATATTTCACAGTTAATACATTGTAAACAACTCATAGAAATATATATTATAAAATACAAATTCTATTTTACCACCAAAATCGCAGTTAATGCAATTATTCTGAAATTTGTGCTTGCCATCACATCATGTGACCTCCATAGATGGTTACACTATGTAATAATATTTTGAAAGAATTTTACATAAGCCAGTTTTTTTAGAATAAAAAACAGGACCTAACTTTGAATGAGGGAATGGATTTACCATTGGTATGGGAAAATTGGGATAAAACTTACAACAAATTTAAATCACTTACAGTTTCCCCGTTTTTTTCTCACATGATTATAAACAACACAGGGCCTCACCTTGGAGTAAAAGACGATGCTGGCATAATCCTTCCACATCGACACCAACAACTGGGCATTGCTGCCAACATTCTGCAGTAATCTAGACTGGAGGCTGAATCCAGTGAAGTCTGAAGTAAGAGCAATGTGATATATAATAAGCATCACATAAAGAGTGAACCACATGTTGAACTTCAAAACCAAACAATCAAAATTGTATATCATCAAATGAGAAAAAAATTGAACCCCAGTGTTACTGCCAGAGCAGCGTTTTATATATAAATCTTATTTCTTTACTTCGGACGCGCTACTCACTTGTTTGTCGCATCGGTGTTGAATAACAATTGTTTTTAGCGCGCTTATGATAATGATGGGATAGAATGTGATTCCATGTGGAATGAGATCGGCTGATATTAAATGCTGAGACAGCCGTAATTACAAGTGTTTTTGTAACAGGAATCTGGCCCATAAGGTTAGCAATTAATTTTAAGTTATGAAAGTTCATTTAAAGATAATTGCGAGAAGATAAAATTAGTTTTCCATTGTAAACTGCAACTTTGAGTAGCGTTAGAAATGCCGGTCTGATGTACAATGCACAGTACATGTAACACAATCACTGTGCCTTTCAGTATTGGAGTAAAGAAAGTTCAGTAAAGTGTAGTGTATTGTTTAGAAACGAGAATGTAGCTGTACTAGTTGCGAGTTAAAGATTGTTTGTTTTATGTTCGTAATCAATGTTATTTTTAAAAGCGTATTTTTTCATTGTGTTAGTTGCGCCAGATGAGATCTACTACACAATCATTTAGAACCTAGCCGCTTGCATTACACTAGAATAGCCCAAAGTCGGTAAGAGTTACTTATATTTTGGAGATAAAGATAGGATAACATGCAACTGTTAAGTAAAGATGTTATTTAAGCGACTTAATAGCATTATATAAAAGAACTAGGGCAAGAATATGAGATGAATTTCTTATTTTATTTCAATTATTTTTTCAGTTGACGGTTTAATAAATCAGTAAAAACGACGCAAAGCTGTTGTTGTTGTGTGTGAGTATTGCAAGTGGCTACACCCAGTTTCTGTAATGTTTTTATCCACACTCAAATTGTATAAAGAGATTACTAAAATAATGGCAGATGGGTACGGATATGAGAGTAGTTATTCATATAATTTGAAATAAAAAGGAATTGATTGCTTTTTTTAAACAACGCTTTCACAATAATATGTAAAACTTAACTGAAAGATATTGAAAAGTTAGTGGGGTTCATGATCCAAAGCATTTTTCCTAAGTCAATTTAAATGATAAATCTTGAAAAAATTAAAATAAAATAATAAGTGAGATGTTTTAGATATTGATGAAAAAAATAATTGACCATTCATTTTTGTGGGTAAAAACTAACCTGACAGGTTCGAATCAGCACCTTCTGTAAGTAAAACAGGTGTCCCCGAGGTCATTGAGTACACTGTGAGAGAACCACTCAGAACGAGGCACAGATACGGAGATTGAGTCACATTGTGTCTGTCTGTTATCTGTGAATACAAAAAGACATTCTAAATTATGATCAATTAAGTATAGATAGTATCATTTCATATGCCTAATAAGTTAATCACAAATGTGTTTATAATATTAAACATGATACACTTGTCAACCAATTACATATCTTGTAGAAAAAAACTGGTTAATTATTAAGATTAACAAATAAATGAAAAAGTGATCCCATCATACAACAAAATTCATAATAAGATAACTATAGTACAGTATAAAACATCTGGCACATTTTAGCTCTCTTTGTATTAGACTACAATTACAAGATTGTCTAAAACTTTATATATAATATCTAATATAATATAATAACACCTTAACAATAAATTAATTAATAAATAACTGGCTTACAAAACAGTGCACCGCGTCTCCAGTTTGGCACTTCCTGTACTGGTCATCTGTCAGAGGGACGTCCAGTCGGACATCTTGGATGGTCATGGTCATCAAATCCAGACTTATCACAGTCAAATGTGGGGCTGAAATACAGGACTTTACTTACTGATACAACCACTCATGAATTTTATACCATTAAAAAAATAGAATCAAAACCAGGAACATCTTACAACTTTTTTACTAAGTAATCAAAATGTGAAAATATCAAAAAAGATGTAGTGCCAGTTAATATGAGCAAAATGAAAACAAAATAGAAAGGTCAACACTGTGGCAATTTAAATTAAATTAAATTAAACAGTAATAGCCAAGCCATTAGTATCAGCTGTTGTCAGAAACGATGCTTTCGTTTAAAATTAAAAATGCAAGGCAAACTTATTCCACTGCCTCACCTTTAGTCTTGAAAGCTGGGAACAGTAACACAAACACCATTAATGTGCCATCAGGACTGGACTTACAATGCAGCAACTTGGTGCAATTCACCTTAAAGAGATATGTAAATATATTATTTCCCCCGACTGTATTATATTCTTTGCAAATTCAACACGTGTTTGGTTATTTAAAGTCACCTAAACAATGGGTCAATGTGACAAATCAATATGTGTATATTAACACTGATCACAGGAGCATTCCTGTTCTGTGGTTCAAGTTGCACTGAGTGATGATAACAGAGATTTTAAACAACCTGACTGGCCAATGAATTTATATATATATATATATGAAAACAAAATAAGGTGCAAAAAAAATAATAAAATAAATAAGAGAAGTACTTATATAAACTATACATTTACATAACAAAAATAAATTTTATTTCATATGTTTTAATTTAACATTTACATTAAATAAATAAAAAAAGGAAGAAAAAACTCACCATCACTGGCTTATAGCGGCGTGTCCCATACGTGGACAGTAGGTTGGTATTGGTGTGTTTGAAAATAACATGAAACATCCCTCCAGCTTCACTATCCAGGATGTCTTTACTGACTGGGTAGACTAGTTTCTGAATACAAGAACGGGAACATCCATTATTTAAGAAAAGAATTCATTTTTACTTCAATTCTTGTGAAATCAATGATAGCTGGCTAAGATTTTCCAAACTGTTGTTTTTGTATAAATGTTAGAAAGAAAAAAAATATCAAAACTGATTTACTGTTTTAAATTAATTTATTTTGATTTATACTTAGCACATATTAATTATCAATTTCATTAAGAAACAAATTCTGTGCAAGTTACTAACATTTTTGATTTAGAAAGAGAAGAAAAAAATACTTACCACACGATCTTTGTCAGAACTGTCTGAATACCAGGGATTTCCAAGATTTAAAGACTTTATTTGTTCTTCAGCTAAAAATTGAACCCAACATTAATACAATCCACATTATTAGGAAAAATTTACAAACATAAACTTCAGAATCTATAAAGTTTTATTTGTGAGGTCACTTTAGTGTTGAAAACACATGGCAAGTGAGGACAAGATCTTAATTAAATCTAAATTAAATTAATATTAAGGCAATTTTTTGTCTTGACAATTTTAGATATTCCCTTAAATTAATTAAAATTATATAAATGAGTATCAATTTACCATTCTCTCTCTCCCTGGCAATTTCCTGTCTGGTTTTTCTATGCTGTGTTTGCATATCAGTGAAAATAACCTAAAAATAACAACACAATCCACTGAAACCATTCAAATGGTTACTTCTCAAATATGATTTTCAGACACCCACATTTCATTTAAAATCATTTTCTAAACATCTGGCTAAATAAACTTAAGTTAGCTACTGTTAAAAAATGTGTAAACTCTATCATGTCCGTCTTAACTCTATCATTCTTCAATCTAAAGGTCATAGGTAAAACTGATGTTACTCAAACCATGAGTTAATCATGAAAATTAAGGAATTGCAGAGGAAAAAAGTCAAAGAAAAAAAAGGGCCGATCCATTTTGAAAAGCATTTGACCTGTCAAAAAATGGGTATCCCATAAGGCATGGCAATTATGGCACTAGTGACACCTAGTGCTTAGTATGACAAGAGATCTGGGCCCCGTAACTCGAAAGCATCCAGCATTGCGACCAAGCCCAAGTGTCTCGATTCCATAATTCACCCATACTCGTCCAATATAACACACTGTAGCCTCTATGTGATATCGCTATTCGCAATACGCTAAGCTTTTGAGTTACGGGGCCCTGATCATTTGTATCAGTTGTGTTTGTCTTACTTCAGACTTTACATTTGGCACAGGTACATATTCACGTTTGGACAGCAGCATCTTGTACTTCCTGTAAGGTGTGAACCAATGGAACTCTGAAAACTGCCTCCTAAAATTGAAATTTTAAATAAATAAATTTATACAAATATGAAGCTGATCTCAAGATTTTACTTAGCCAATTGAAAGAAGATAAGCTTGGTAGGCATCCATTTCAATGAGATAGTTTCACTATTTGTTAGATCAATTTGATTGCCCAATCTTACTACAATGCTTTCCTCCAGTAAAAATAAGTCCTGAACAACCTGTCACACAAACAACCACAGTAACAGTTATTTCTGAGCACATCCTGTCATACAGACAACCACAGGTAACAATTAAACAGATTGAAGTCTTTTGCAATAATTTTGTTATCTATCCAGTGGCACATAGTCTTTTTTTGCCGTTTACACTAAGCTAGTAAGTCTATAACATTTCTGATCTCACTGTACCATTGTATCTTTACCTGCTATATCTCCAGACATTGATATATCCTGCCTGGTCCACCGTCACCATGTTCTTGATGGTCTCTATGAAGCACATGTGGATCAGGGGTCTCCTGTGCTGGCGGAGTAACTCCCCGGGGACACCCTGGCCTATGGTGCTCTTCTCCTCTTCTTCCTCCACTGGTATCTGCATGGAGATTGATAACAGATGTGTGAAACAGAGGGTGAAAACAGTGTCATGTGAAACACAGGGTGAAAACAGAGACAAGTGAAACACAGGGTGAAAACGGTGTCATGTGCAACGGTGAAAACAGAGGTGAAAAACAGAGGTGAAACACAGGGTGAAAACAGAGGCATGTGAAACACAGGGTGAAAACAGATGTGAAACACAGGGTGAAAACAGACGTGAAACACAGGGTGAAAACAGACGTGAAACACAGGGTGAAAACAGAAAAACGTGAAAGATATACATAGTTTTTTCTACTTAGTTCTATAATTTCAAGCAGTCTCTAGTGTCAAAAATTCTATGCTGGCATTGTGAGTAAAGATGTACAACCCTTTGGGAAATCTCCAGATGGAATTCAAATTTTTTTTGATATGACCACTGAAAATACCAGCTCAAACAAATTCTGGGCTGATGTTAGCATAAAGCAATTAAGGTAAGTTTTAAGGGAAACAAACATTTCGTTTTCTCAAAATTTATCAAATTCTGGTTAGAAGATATTTCAAAATGCTACACATTATTTAAAATGTCTAAAGAAAATGCAAAACATTTTGCCTTTTTCCAAATGTATCAACTTTTAGGTCAAACTCTGAATTCAGCTGATACCATCCAGCTATCTGACAGAAATTCTACCCAAAAGTGAGCCTAGACGTACCTTTTCCTGTATAATATTTGGCACATGTTGGAGCTCTGCACCGGCTCCTGTTATCGTACTCTCCAGGTCGCACTTGAGTATGTCACCACTGCGCAAGGCAATGCACACTTGCGACTGAAAATAATTGTATAAAGTACATAATTTCATAATCTTATAAATGCTGTTTTTCACGAGATACTATTAAATCTTCCAATTTGTCTGCACTTTCATCACTGTTATCATTTTTATTATTCTAATAAAATTGTTCACAATATTTTAATGATCATAATAATTTTGAAGAAATAAGTATTTTAGAAAGACTGCACTAAATGAAAATATAAGGAGAAGAAACTATTCAATTTTATCATTATTACTGTAATTAAATTATCTTCATTATCATTATCAATGTAATTTTCTTTTCAAACATGACTGTCATCATCAAGTTTATCATCATCATCACAGTTGTCACTATCGCAGTAAAAAAAAAATTATCATCAACACCATCCTCATCAACATCATCTATATTATCAGTAGACAATACAGCCACTGGTGCGTACCTGAGATCCCAAGAGAGAGACCGCTGGGTAAAAGTCTGCCAAAACTGGACCCTGCCGGCCTTTCTGGATGTCCATTTCAAACAATGTTCCTGACATAACAAAATCAATGTGAAGTGATGAAAATTGTCACACCACTGGTTGAGAAAACAAAGGTGAAGTCAGTTTGAACTGTGTCATTGTGGAATATCAAAATGTCAATCTTTAAACTTACATGAATAAAAAGCTCTAGGAAATTTTTTCATGGATTTTAGACCAAGGAATGTGGTGCAGTTCATTAAATTCCCAATATTTTCTCCAAATGAACTTATCATAAGGAGAGATTCAGGCTTTTAACTTAACATCTGACCCTTATCTTTTTAATGATAATTGTTCACTATTATTTGTTCCTGTACTAGGAAATCTAACAAAATACTCAAATTCAAAGTGGCCACCCATGTTCTACCTGCTGTAAAGTTGAAGTCTCTGGAATCAGCCTGTAGTTTGGCCAGCAAAGTGAGAGGAGGCGGCACAAACATCTCTGCATCTGCCTGCAATTCCAAAGCCTTCAGGCCTGTCCTGGAGAGCTCTCCTGGAGTCATGGACCAGACTTTGACTGCCCCCTAGTGGAGGAGGAAATAATTACACTTAGTATCAAGTTCTTTGTGACCTAATGTTACCAATTAAAACCTTTATGCTAATGGTCTACAATTAATAATATCTATAAAAGTTGTACAGATACAGAAATCACCAATAACTGACCTTTTTGTCAACAGTGACCAGTCTTCTGCCTGTCACGCTCCATGATATGTCCACCACGACAGAATCCTCCACTGATTCATTCCTAACAGCTTGGACAGGTTTCATGACATCTCTCCTCATATCATATACTATAATATCTCCTGGAAAATAAATTTCCCTCTTTTCTGTTGTTCTTTTTTTTTTTTTAAGACAAAAAAAAAAAAACAACACATTTTCCAATCTGACTGTTACCACCCTTTTTACCTCACTGAAATATCATGTCTGTAACAATGGCAAAATTTGAAATACTACTTTCTCATTATACAAAAGGCGTAGGACCACTCCTAACATTTTCAGGACAAGGCTAAAAGCTTTTTGATCCGTACTTATAACAAGGGTGGAGTGGATACAATCATTCAGGCTATTTTTTCTATCTAGGTTGTCATTTAGGTTGAGGTGAACCATTGGGTGGGGGAAAGGGGCAGAGCTTAAGGGCATATGAACCCAAAAAATGGGGGAGCTAAGGGGCTGTGCCACTCTTTTTGGACTCATCTTATCAAAACAAATAAATAAAAAAACATAATAAAATACACCTGGGAAAAACTCCATATGAAACAAGTGCCTGGTTTACCTCCCATTGCACAGAGTAATATCTTGTGCCCTTGTCTAAACCAAAATTATTATATATCTTATATATAATGCGTCCTTGTCTACACCAAAGGTATTACCACGTAACATATTTTCTGTTATAAACTAGTGTACTTACCGTGACCAGTTCCAACAGCCAGCAGGTTCCTGTTCCTGGACAGCTTAGCAGAATGGATTCCATGGCACTTCTTGGACAAGTGAGTGACATTAACGTCTGCCACTTTTGTCTGAAATATTTAGAAAATTCTTCATATGCTAAACTTGCTAAGAGGCATCAAAATGTAGAATGGAACTAAAAGATATACAACTGAATGTCATTTCCTGCTATAAATGTTTCATTCTAAATATTTTATCCATAGAAAACAATTAGAAAGAGATTACTAAATCAAACAACCTGTTAAAAGTGGCAATAATAGACTATCAAATATGGTTTCAATTGAAAAAAAAAATACTTTCCATAATAAAAAGTAAAATATCTTCAAGTTATTAAAAAAGGAGTTATGAAAAATCAAAAATGATCTTTATATTTCAAAAGATGACATACTAGTTCATTATACAATTACTATTGAGAACACCATGAACAGGAGATATAATATCAACTTACTTTCCAGTACAAGCTCTCCACGTTTTGATAACTTATCAGGGCTCTCTTTACTGCTCGCTCAGCATCAGACTCAGAATCAATTGGTGTTACATTCTTCAGATTCACAGGCACAATGTTGTGAAATTTTAAAATAGTAACGTCATCTTCCTCTGGGGCACTACAAATAAGTAAATATTCATGTTAAGAAACATCTATAATATGGAACTATTATAAATGGTACATAAATGAAACGATCAGTTTAAGTTAATGCTAATGCTATCATTGAAAAGATCTCCCAGCTCCCAAATTTGACCAATTGATGAAAATACAACTTTAGCTTTAGCTCACATGTTTTAAATAGTTTAAGTGACCAAAAAACCATGAAATTCATATAAGACCAAGTAAATAGCTAAGGGTGGAGAGAAAAAGTGTAGTGAAATATGTAACTGTATACATTCAATAGCCTTCAAAGGATGATTCTAATGATTCACTTCACCTCTGTACATTAGCCTTTCCTCTAACAGTAATATTCTGCGAGTGTCCCCAAATTTCTTTCCTGTATTTGTCCCTATTCTTCTTAATCCTGTAGAAGGCCTTGGTGACCATGTTATAGGCTGGGTCGTCCTCTCCTCTCCCCTCTGGGGCACCTGTGGTGACAATCTGGGGACATGGAGACAAAGTTATTCATACCTGTATAGTCATGCCCGTCCACCCTCCCTCTCTCTCTCACCAACCCAGTTTTTACTTAGAAATTAAAAGAGGCATTTCTCAGGGACACTGCACGCAAGGCATGTGCACTGAACACCTTATCCAGAAAAGGGCGGTATTGGTAAGTTTTCATTAATAAACAAAAAATTGGAAGGCAAATGTTAAGAATTTGGAGTAATTCAGCACTTGCCATGGTGCTGTATTTACTACTCAGGAGTATTTCCAATAGATATGCCTCTGAATTATTGAACTATATTCAATTTGCCATTTTTATAATAAGATAAACATACCTCAATTTGTTTCATGATCATATTGGCAGTCATCACGCGTATCATCTCAGCAGTTTGTTTGTATTCTTCGGCTACCCTGGTACATTCCTCATGAACTGCCTGGAACATAACAAGTATAACTTAATATGAAGTCAATGTATCTGTATATTTTGTTACAAAACAATGTTTAAGTAAGAGTTTCTTTTACTATTCCTATATTCCAATTTCTTAAACAAGACCTCCTCACAGAATGAGGCTAAAATGAAATACTGGAGAGGCAAGAACTCAGATTTCAGCTGTTGATGGAACTTTCTCTTAACATTAAAACAATCAGCAATGCACAACTAACACAATCATTTAAAAGGCCAGGTCCTTCCTTACCTCTTCCATTATCTCCTGCAAGGCATCATCTGCAACCGCCTGTACAGCAAGATAGTTCCGTGTTCTCGAGAGCTCCTTGGACTGTTCTTCCATCATTGCTCTAAAAAAATAAAATGTCAACTTCAACATATATTTTTCATCATTGCTTGAGAGAATAATTTCGAAATACGATCTCTACTTCAAACATGTGTTATACATGCAAGGTCTCCAAGTGCCCTTACTAAACAATTAATGATACATAATTATAAGATGCAGACACATTGTAATTATTCATAAAATTATGGGTGCCTCCATCTGGAACTGCCTGTGAACAAAAATATTTGGCAAACAGGACAACTTTCTAGGCTGTTCCTAACAACCAGTTAGCCAGATACTGCACTTATATTTGATATCGGAAGTAAATATGGCAGCTGAAATGCATGCCCCTTCCCTCCATCCACTGGCGTACTAACCTGGCTGCTGTAATGTTGGTTGTAGGTATGGCAGCCCTGAAGTACATGTCCAAGAACCGGTTCACAGTCTCGTCAACAATACTTCTCACCTGGAACGGGGGAAAGAATTTAAATGTGAAGATCTATAATGTTTTCCAAAAGGACATTTCAGAGAAATATAATTTTAATTCGTTTTCAGTGGGCTTCTACTGATTCATCTTATGTTAAATTACATGAATGTTTGGTCCATAAGTTTAAACCAATTTTCAGTCTAATTTTTCTACTTTTATAACACTGCTCCCGCTAAAAGAATTTCAATCTCTTACAGACTTACCATATGGTAGTGTGGTAGTTGCCAGTTCTGATATGAGTGAATGCCAAGTTCTCCATTGTATGGTGCATAAAGCTGTCTTTTTCTCCTTTCCAGCTCTTGCCTTAAATCACAAAAACATCAGATTTGTTCAATTTTAAAGTAATATGCCAGAGTACTTTGGAGAGGTTTTCATGGATTATATACATAAATTGATGTTACTTGTTACAAACCATGACTATACTACTCCATGTATAACTTTTACAAAAGGACAATAAATTTGGAAGCATAAATAAATAAACAGAATGATAAATTAATTATTCAAAACATAAATTACTTTAATCTGAGCAGTCTATCCTCTGTATCTGGCAACCTGTTCTTGACGTCTGTGATATAAGACGGCACAGACTGGACCACACTGCCAGGAATTATGGGAACCACATCCCGCCATCTGCCACCGCTGCTGCCCTCTGACCCAGTCTCCTCTCTGAGAGTTTTCATCTTCTCTGACATCTTCTCACTCTCTGCTATCAGCCTTTCTCTTTCTTTGTTCAGCTGTCTGAATAAGTAAATAAATGATAATACTGTGTAAATTAGTTTTCCAGTCCTATTTTATGTAAATTACGATTTTTTAATTGATTGCTGGACTCACAATTTGGTGCTGAAGTCTCTGAGAGGTAGACATAACTGACAATCAGACTTCAGTGCAGTAATAGATTTAAAAAGTTTATTTAAAGGGATAATAACTCTTCGTTTCGGCCAAAAAATGAATTTTCCTGGAGTAAACAACAATTTTCCCATACTTACCAATGGTTAATGAATCCATTTTTACATTCAAAGTTAGTCCCTGGTTTTTTTTCTAAAAAGTTTGTTTTTTTGTTAAAATCTCTTAAGAGATTTTAACAGGGTATAGCCATCAATGGAGGTCACGTGGTCTGAAGACAAGCTCAGATATCAGAATTATAGCTATAACTGCCGTTTTTGTGGTAAAACAGAATACATTATATTTCTGTGAGTTATTCACAATGTTTTTATTGTGAAATATAGATCTCATACGAAGAGTTATTATCCCTTTAACTAGTTTATTCAAAAATTGATGGAGAAATGAATATGCAAATTAATGAATGAGAATATAAATAAATAAATGCTCACCTTATGTGTAGTGTGTACTCCTCCCTCTTCCGCGCATGCTCCTTGTTGCGACTGCTGATGACATCTTCAAGGACACGTGGGCGTGGACTACCACCAGATCTCACATCTATGCCTATTTTTGACCAAGAGTCAGATTATGAGAAATCTTAAGGTGCATTTTCATTTGAGTTTTGACCCCTTAACTTAGTACAATAGTACATCAGCAGGATATCCGATGATTACTTCATCATATAGAGACAAGCTAATCCCTTTGTTATCCCATTAAGTACCAATTATGCATTTGTCTGCACATTAGAATTTGTCACCATTCTAAAAAGATAATGCAGCTCTAAGACAAGTTATCACTTATCAGTAATAAATATTAAAACCCTTCTAACATTTATATTCCTTTTGAATTTTTCTAAAGAAAAAATTCCATTTAAATGTCAGTAGCGTGGTATCAGTATTTGTTTATTTATTTTTGTTATTGTTTATTTATTTCAACTTACCTACATCTGGGCTTGATCTCTCTCTTCCTAAGTTACCATTATAGCTATTGTACACATCTTGATTCAAGTGATCCTGAAATATTCATCGTAAATATCGTGAGATTAAAAGTCATTTATAACTAGTACATTATTCTATCATGTCTTTACTATATGTAACATTTGTGCTTTTTTAACATAGCCTTCAGAACTCGAACCAAAAAATTTAATTTCAAAAATGCACAGCTTTGGTATACACAAACATACACACTCCATGCTCAAAGATCCAGCCACAGAAACAGACACACACTCGCATGCGCACGCACTTATTCTGTGCCATACAGCACACTTTATTTCACATGCATGTTTGACCACAAAGTTGAAGTTTCCATTGCAGATAGATCACTAATTACATATAAGCCGTGTTTCCGTTGCAGATTGATCCACCCTTCGTAACAGACTTTCTGATTAAGCCGTATGGGGAGTAAGTGTTTTCTCTTTGTCTCTTGAAGTTATTACAGAGGAACAGCCAGTAGTGAGGGTAATAGCAGGTGGGTGAGGAGAGGGGTTTCTTTTGGACGGCTATCATTAACAGTGAACTCAGATTAATTAGACCAATAAGTGCTGTATATCTATACAGCTCATTGGTAAAACAGTTCTTTGAGAAAGATAACACAAAGGGCGGCCTGCCTATCTTTAATTTCAATAGGGCTTCATATTGAGCACATTCACAACAGCCAACTAACAGATCCATGGTTCAAATACGGACGACCCACTTGAATGCTTGTTGCATAATCCCCACAGGGAATCTAACTATTGTCTATTAGAAGATTAAGTGGCAAGATTTTTAGTGGGACGCCATATTTGATCCGCAAATTTGTTAATCTGCCGTTGTAAATGCGGTCATCACTGTACCAGGGCTTTCTGTTCTCTTTGTCTCTTTTCCTCCCATTTCTGCAGTTGTTGTTGTTGTATTGTATGTGTCCTGAAAAGGATAAGACAAAATAATTAGACAAAAAAAATTGTTTAATCGCTTCCGCATAGACTTTTAAACCATATTTAAAGCATATTCTTATTCCTGTTGCTATCAATTTTATTTTAAATAAATCCATGATGAGCTGTAATGACATTTTACAAGATTTCAACATTAAAGACGAAACATACCTTTAAAGGGTCAAATTAAGCTGTGAATAAAATTAACACAATTGTTTATCATTGATGAAAAACTTTCAACTGACAGAACATTCATCATGTTTGTTTCTCCACTGATGAAAAAAGTAATTTTCAAACAAGATTTATTTAAAAAGTTTCTAACAGGAATTTGCACATAATCATACAGTATGGTTTTGTGTAGAAAAATAAGCTCAGCCACAATGCTGAAATAATTACATTACAAAAAATAAAAATAAAGACAAAGATATGATGTACACCGAAAAGAACATGTGTAAAGCCTCTATCCCCAAAATAAACTCTAACAAGTAGCGATGGGTAAAAATGCAATGAATCATGCTTTTTATGTCAATAGCTATTACAATAATATTGTAAATAATCATATTATGTAGAAATAAAAAAGGATGAAGTCATCCTAAACAGAGATTATTCACATGATTTGTATACATAGGATATTACAATTGTTTTTTTTTAAAGCCCAAGCACATGCATACAAATTTATAGGGATACAGACAGCATGCATAGGGAAGGAAATAAACCGCCCCCTATAAATACCATACCTTTGAACTCCACACAGATATTTCTAAAAAAGGGATTTTATCAGCATTAGACATATGGCAAAAAGAAGAGGAAAGCAATACTAAAGCTGATACTTTAAAACATAGATGAACAACCTTAGTGTGCTACCAGTCAACAGTAAAGGTAAGCAGTTTAATTGATGTATGACTTAGAAAAAATTTAAAGTATTTAATTATTGGTTTAAAGTGATACAAAGTAAAACACCAGGTGGATTTGATTAGATAAAGGGTAACTTATGTAATTGGAAGAAGGCAAGTAGAAAGAACTGTTCTCAGTCCTTTATCAAAGCCAAAATAATGTCCATCTATCACTGCCAAAGAGTGAAATGTTTTAAATTCCTCTAAATGTCTTGAATATAAGTTCTTCCAGTTCCTATCGGAACTTCTGAATATTCTGTTCAACGGAAAAAGAATGGAAAGAATGAAGAATTTGAGGTGTGTGTATGTGTGTGAGAAAGAGAGGGGGTATGAAAGAACCCCGTTAAAAAGAAAATAGAAGAAGGAGTGGGAATGACATTTGATTCTCCTCTCTTAACTCACCTTCTATAAATATCTTCCTCCAATATCTGCCTGTTCCGCTGCACCTCAGCCAGTCTCTGTCTCTGGGCCTCTAAGTACTCCGCCTCGCTCACCTTGGGCCGACTCGGTGAGAACATTGCCAACTGCAGGGTAGGTGGAGCTTCTGCTAGTAGAACTCCTTCTTCGTGTCTGAACATTGAAATTGAAATTAAAACAAACTGTACCTTTTGCTACAGTGTACAGTTAACTAGTTAACTGAAATGTGGGTGAAAAATCAGAGTATGCAATATGGAAAAAAGCTCCTGGATTTGACCAAATCACAACAACAATTAAATTGAAAAACAGTGCAAAAGTTAAACACACCTGGAATTTCAAATTGGTACAAATAAACTAGAGAAATGTGAGGTAAAAAGGGTAAAAGTGATTGAACTGTTCACAAGAAAAATCACAAGGCGTGTACTCAAGTGTAAAAAACAGTTGCCGGCTAACCTCACGTGAATGTATGAGCTTCTAAGATGAGAACAGCTCACCTGTGATACGGTTGAGTGAATTTGTCATGGAGAACGAATACGGCGAGCACGTGGTGATATCAATTTCAGAAACGTGTCAAAACTTCTTTATATACCGTGAACGGCTTCCTTATGGGCCCTTGCAAACTAAATTTCTTTAAAATGAATTCAGTTACCTGACGCACCTGCCCCTCCCGTCAAAAAACAAAGAAAATTCTGACCTTAGGTTTTTGAATTTCCCGCGTAATTTCTTAGGAGCCTTGTCATCAAATTAAAGTGTTTCAGCGAGCTAGTGGGTCCTCCGTTCGAGGCTCGTGCCTCCTCTCCTCGCACCGAGTGTCCGTATTTAGCTCTGCTCTACGCCGCCAGGTCCGCTCTCCGTGTTCACAGGTCGAAGCTCCTTGTGTAACTGTGCGGGCGGTGGTCGTAGAAAGGTGTGAAGGCAAGTCTGCACCCTTTCGCCTCGTGGCTCGAAGTGAAGATGATTTCTGCACTCCCGCCAGGTGGCGTAAGCTTGTGTCCCGTAGTTCAGGGACTGCTTCCGGCACAATCACAACACTACGACTAATTGACAAGTGTTTAAACCTTGGTTATAAACCCGATAAGTCAGAGGTCTCTGGAGTTACTTTCCCAAGAATTTCCAGTAGCCTGAAATAAACCAATTTAAATTAAATTTCGCCACCAGCAAAACCTGTGAGAGTTTCAGTTGTTTGTAATTTGCTCTCTCCGTCGCAAGCACTGAATGCCAATAGATGTCAGCACTTTGCACCAAGACAACCCAAATACAGAAGCTGAAAGAGCTGGATGGAGACTTTATTAACTACGTACAAATAATAATAGGGGAGAATGATGACGAATAATTACATAATTACAAAACACATTTCGATAGCTCGCACAAAAATTTGATGCAAAACAAAAAAAAAAATACGTGTTTCGAGATGCATTCAGATTTAGGCACCAGATGGCGCAGTGCACGCAGTATAAACAGAGTGCTCAACCGCAAATCAACATTAGCACGTGCAGAGGTGAAATCAACCGAAGGCCATGTGGCGATTGCTGTGTTTGGCTATAGTTTTTCACCTGGCAGTGGCAGTATTTGGAGAAGACGTTGTGGTGACGACGAAACTTGGAGACATCAAGGGACTTTCTGGCAAAGTGCGCTTTAGAGGGAAGACGCACGTGTTGAAGAAATTCCTTGGCGTCCCGTTCGCGCAACCACCTCTGAAAGAGATGCGATTCAAGGTAAACAAATAAGATAAAAGATTGATCGTTCAGTGATAACGGTTGTATGCGCAGTGTTGTCTTTGGTATCGTTGTTTAACGCTATGAAGTTCATGAAAATTTAATTTTGATAGTAAATGAACTGGAAAGGGATATTGGGTAAGTACGTGTACATGTACGTGAAATGCTATTGAAGGTGTGTTGAATTGTTAAATGCAGACATGGGGTAGAAGGCATCCCAAAAAGTGTGTCACTTGTGACATTTTTTTCACGTTTTTTCCCAAATTAACAGTCATTTGTATTTGTTTCTGTGTTTATATGTTGCTGATATTTGATACAAAAGCTAAAAAGACCCTGTTGAGCTTGGGAATATATTATTTGTAAAATCTGGTTTGAAGTATATGTTTTGTGAATTTTAAAGTAACACGCCTTTTTTTTATGATGACCAGCAGCACTATGTGCACAAATGGCATGCTGTCCTGTTGATAATCACGTGTGATGATTTTTTTATTTAATTTTTATTTTCAATATTTTCCAACATAGTTCTGAGCTCAAAGACCTGAGCTCTGGATATTTATATATGTATGCCTAGTCTGTGCATGCATGATGATCAGTATTACTCTGTATCTGCCATACCATTCATTTTATTTTATTTTATTTTATTTTATTTTATTTTATTTTATTTTATTTATTTATTTATTTATTTTTTTTAATTTTATTTTTTTCTGATCTTCATTTCAAATTCTTGAATCTAGAAATCTTTGGAGATGTTTCTGATAATAAAAGGAGCCCAATCTTAAAAAAAGAAAGTTACGAAAAAAAATTATGGTGCTACCTGAGCCATGTAAGATTATGTGGTTTTATCAGTAGAGTTGCCTATCACAGAGAATGATGTAGGCTATATAGCTTTTTTTCTTTTTGAGCTTTAAAACAACGAACCCTAACTAATCTGACTATCACACTGAAATTCAAACTGTCTAGACGTTTCTGCCTACAGTGATGACTTTGGCTGAGTGAGGAATGTTAACTATATATTCCTCACTATATATCTATGGTGAGTAAGGGTTTATCATATATAAAATGGTCTTAAACTGCCAGCTGGCAATATCTGAGTTTACCTGGCTAAGCAAGTACCACTTATTGAATCTGCACTAATTTCTGTGCCCTATGAGCTTAACTTTGGCTATAGACTGTCTTATTCTGTATGTAAAACCAAACCAGGAACAGTCCAAAATAAATCTTATAATGGATTGGAAGTAAACATTGGCCCAAAGGTCTCAAATTAAAGCAGTTGTCTTTCATGTTACAAAAAAGGGAAAATATGTAGAGTATTAAATTTAATTGGACTGCTTAATTATTGTTGTTTTATCTTGGGTCAGGGTAGATAGTAAACTATTGGTTTATAATCGTTAAGACCAATTTTTAAATTGAAGTGTTTTTTTTTTTCTTGTGAATAAAATGGGCCCCAGTTTCTTGCTGGGCCATTTGCGTCTGTCATAATTGCCTTAGTGCACTGCCTGTTTAATGTGCACTATGGGTTATTTTAAGTGGGGGATGATTTATCGCAATTATTTACAATAAGACAATAAGACGCGAGGAAGTGGGGCACTGAGTTTGAAAAGAGGTAAAACTGTGTTATACCTTAGGCTCTATTCCCATACATTTTAGATCGATCTATCCCCGCGGGGAGTCTCACTAGATTACTTTCAGATAATCCGACTTAAATGTCTGTCCCGCCTACTACAAGCAGTAAGGGGGTAATTAACTTTCGTGTCCGCCGGGCTGACAGCTATTTAGTGTGAACCCCCAGGGAGTTAGGTCGATCTAAAGTAGGTCGATCTAATCTATGGAAATGGGGTGTTACTGTGCATGTGTTGGCCTCACATTTTCATAATACTAGCTGTCCCACAATGCAAAGTGTCGGCTCTAAATAAAATAATTTTAAAATATAAAAGAGTGGAAGTGGTCGGTTTTAATTTAATATGTTAGTTTAGGGCAAGGTGCAAAGGAAAGTGACTTGGTTTTGTTTTTTGTTGCCTCAGCTGTTATTTGGAAGGGAATATACCGCAGAAGCTAAGGGAGGGACGCGTGTGTGTGTGTGTGTGTGTGTGTGCATGCATGTGTGCATGCATATGCATGCCTGCCTGCTGTTCTTCTGGATCTGCCTTTCTTCCTCTGGTGCTGTTTTACGCTTTTTCCCAGCCCAGTTCCACTTTTTATATTTCTTAGCATTGAGAACAGTGTATCCTTTACTGGTATTTATCTATTAAAAGAGGGAATGTTTTTACACGTGGTATTGGGATTTGTAGATTAAATGTGAGCCACAAAGAAAATGAGAAACATTTGTTTTCATAAAACCTACAGAGAAGCAGCTAAAGTTTGCCTACAGATTTAGTAGTCAGGGTTACTTTTTGGTGAATTCACATGGTGAGTCTAATCAGATATCATCTGATAATAATAGTATGACTATAATTTCTGGTTTAATTTAGACTAAGTCTGCATGCATTTGTATTTGATCATGCCCAGATGTAGGGCGATTGTCAATAAACTTCTGATTCTGATTCTGTTCTCTGAGAGTTCTGCAGTGATGTAAGTATAAAAGCTTTGCAAATGACTATTTCTGTTTTAATTTAGACCTGGCATGAACGCACCTTCAGAGATCCCTTTGAATAGGCTTAATTTGTAAGTGGCTATTGCTGGTTTAAGTCAGACCTTTTCTGAATGCGTCTTGAGAAATCTGCAGTGCTCTCAAGGGATTGACTTTGCATATTTCAGCATCTCAGTTGGAGACTAGTCTGTTAAGTTTTATAGGTAGAAGGTTGGGTAATCTTTTCTAAGTGGTATCATGGGCTGTAGGGAGGCAGAAATGTCATATGACATACTATATAGTAGCGGTTTGATGTGATGATTATATAATGGTCAGAAAATGGGGAGGTTATGCTCAGTATTTTTAACTTCGTTAATTCTTTTTCTTCGAGAACATTGCAACATATATAGGGAACTGATGTCACGTTAATTTCATTCAAGTAAGCAGATATACATACTGAGTAAATTGCAAGCAAATTCATCTTATACCCTTATCAAAACTGAAATCTCAAGAATGAATGGAAACAAAACAATCTCATTATATAAACTAAATCATTTTAATTGATCGACAGAAATAAAAAAACTTGATGTTGAATGAGGACAATTGAATCGGTTTAATGAGAACTTTTCTTCACTTTTAAAATCCACTTAAGGTGAAATGAATGGATTATAAACTAAAAAGAATCTCATTTTATAGGCTTTGTTGTAGTAATGCAACAGCAAAACAATTTATATCATTTTGAAAACTAAAAAGTTTAATATCTTAAAAGACTACACTGTGGTATACATAAATCATTCTGACAGTGTATAAATCTTCTACAATTTATTCACCATTTAAAGACAAAAAAGAGAACTATTTTGTTTTTTATGGGATCAATTGGGTTAATGCACAGAGACAAAAGTTCTGTTTATTCCTAGTGGCATAATATAAGGGAAAGAGTTCCTTTTTTGTGTTGATGTAAATTATCAGAAAGCAAAGCCAGATTACTAAGAGGACCATGACAGCTTCAAGGAATCCTTCAGCCACAGCAAGAGGTTTTTTCATTGTAACAATTTCAATAAAAAAACTTCACTGACCTTGCCATATGTAATGTTTTCTTTTTTTTTTCATCAAAGCAAGTGTCTGTTTTCAGATCTACAGTAAGATTTATAGAAGTAAATTGCCTGGTGCAGGTCTTAGTTTTGATAGAGGTGTGCAAGCAGGAGTGCTGTATTTTTTTTTTTTTTTTGAACTGTAACAATTTTCAGCCTGTCTGTGGTGTCACTGGCAGTACATTTGTTATCAAACATAACAAGCTCAAGGTACTAGTAGCTAAAGGCAGGAGCTGAGATGGAGGAAAAAGAGTTGCCGAGACTCCACTGATTGAGTTGGAGGATTAAGAAAATGTTTCTTTTGTAACTCAGGAGATGGTGCACACAGTCAAAGATAAGGTTAATGAGAGAGGAGGCACTGGGGCACCTGTGAGAACTGGTAGTTCCCATTTCTTTAGTTTTCCTGGTTAAGCTATAATAAAAGGATGGTGCATTTATGGTTCAGTTGTGAGGACTTAACTTAGCACATCTGTCATCCTATACTAGCAGACTTTTCTCTGTAATAATGTTTTAGCTAAGCCATCAGTTGCGTATATACAGATATATGTTAGATTGTGAACTAACTTACACACTGAAGAAAAAAAAACTTCAAAAATTGGGGAAAGATGATGATGCATTCCATAGAGGAAAGGGACTGACAAATTGTGTGAAGATGTATCACGTAATTTCAGCTTGGAAATGAACTTATTTAGCGAAAATCAGGGAGCCAAATTAGTTGTGTGTGAAATGCATCACCAGTATGCAGACTGTAACAGCCAGGGAATACGTGAAACAAAATATCAAGGTTTTTGTTTTTTTAAGTTAACTTTGAAAGACTTGATGACTATTTGCCTGTCTGCACAAAAGTTTTTTATACAATTCAGATAAGTCTGTGCATCAGCAGTAAGGATTGAGATGTACAGTCAAATTACAAATGCAAAAACTGGATTAAAATAAATTTCAGTTGTATTTTACGATGTATTTTTTTTTTAGTGCTTAACATCAAAAATATCCAATTTCAATTATTTTAAACAATTAATATTTTAAGCTTGGTGCCTTTTGAAAGCTTTTTGTAGATCGACCACCCCTTTGGACTATTTGATCAATTTTTAACATGATTGTTTTGTTACAACTGATGCAAGTTCCAATACAAACAGTTTGAACTTTATACATTGCTGTTGTTGTTATAACTTACTGTAATTCTCACCTTTTGATTGCAGACTAAATGCTTTAGGAATCCTGATGTATGAAATACCTTTGGACTTTTCTCTTCAGTCTTGTAAATTAGGAGATCCAAATTCTTGGAAAACAGAGCATAAGTGATATGTCTTTAAAGAAAATATGTATAACCTTTATCAGGAAATATGATTTAGAGTCACATCGTGGTAAATTAGATTATAAGCCACATGTGTTCATGTGAAGAGAACAGAGGGCTCAAAAATATTATTTTGTTGATTGCAGAAAGTATTTATTTCTAAATAATCGAAAATGTGTGTTCAGGCTTAAAGTACATTCTGCAGATTACTAAGAGGTGTTTCAGTTTATAAGTATTCAAGGGGAAACAAATTTATCTCTAAGCAGACACTCATTGCTTTATCATTTTCCCGTGGGGTCCACACTTATTTCATCATGGACAGGGTAACTCTAATTGAAGGAACGGAATTGATATGGTGCCTGTCAACACTAATCACTTTGAGGGATTGAATTCAAACTATTCAATAATAAGAAAAAATAACACTGTTCGTCATTTTAGGGAATATAACATGTCAGATCTTTTCCTCATACTCTCTCGCTCTGTTTCTTTAAAAATAATAACACTGTTCATCATTTTTGGGAATACTAGCTAGTATGTCAGATCTTTTCCTCATTCTCTCTCTCTCTCTCTCAACTGAAAGCAGTGCTTATGTTTTTATTTTATTATATATGCCCTTTATTATTTTACTTTTAGCCCCCTCGTGCACCTGCTCCCTGGAAACCAGACCTTTACAATGCCACCTATTACCGTCACACCTGCATGCAGGAAAAACTGGATAGAGACGAAATGCAGAAGCAAATACCTGGCTTCAAAAACTTTAGTGAAGATTGCTTGTATCTGAATATTTTTACAACATATGATGTAAGTGCCTGTGGTGTAAGACACTCTGTATGTATACATTTTGTGGTCAATAATAGCTTTGTAATAGTAAAATTTGATGAAAAATATTTACAATGATAATGAAAATAATATGTTACGTCACCTGGCTTTTGATATGTCTTTGAGATCATTTTCTCTTTGTTGAAATACTAGATTAATTGTTATCAATCAACATTATACAACAAACAATTTAAATAGAATACCTGGGCAAGTAAAAAAAAAAGGAAATTGATTTTGGTGTTTTGATTTTAATAATATTTAAAGAGACTTCCAGATTGTATCACCATGTGTTATAACCACATGTTCTCAGAGGACATTATCTCAATGTTTTTGCCTTTTACACCATAAAAAAGCAACTGTACTTATACACATATAAAGTCAGTTACATAACAGGCTCAACTGAAACCACTCATATATTTATTTATTTATTTATTTATTTATTTTTGATTTGACATGCAATTCCTTCACTTAGATTCAGCAGACACTCTGTCATCATATAAAATTATTCAGACTTGTAACATTTATTCATTTTGAAGTGAACGTGTCACAAAAAAGTGGAAATTAATATAAGTAAGATGCTTAAAAAAAGTAGCTGTAACCATAAATTCCAGTTTACAGACAGTTCCAGTTTGCCTCACCCAGTCATGGTATTCATCCATGGCGGCAGCTACGTGGCGGGGTCAGCACAGACAATACTGGGAGATGTACTACCACTGAAGGGCGTGGTCTTGGTTGTGATTCAGTACAGGTTAGGGGCTTTTGGTGAGTCTTACTGTATTTTTGTTTGATTTTTATTATTTATTTTTTATTGTGGTCATGAAAACAACTTTTTTTTCAGTTTCACTGAAATCTCAAAATATCTTGTACTGTGCACATTACATAATGGTGATTGAAAAAAAAAATAGAAATTGCTTTTTCTGAACTTGTTCTTGTAGTAAATATTTCATAGACATTGTGGGACATCTTAAAATATTGTTAGAAAATCAGGAAATTGGAGTTGTAATTGCATTTTACATTGCTCTAGATACATGTAGGATGTGTACTCTTTTGTAAAATACTTTGTTTCTTTGAGCAAAATTATGGAAGTGAGCACTTAATCAGTTCTTGCTTGTGTAAATTGTAGTTGACTGGCAGTCCAGTTAGTATCAACTTCAAGACCTTAGCTGCACTTCTGAGTTGTTTTTCAGTGATAAGTAAATTGTGACATTAAAACTAATTTAAAAACGGTTTTAAATGAATCCTTCCAAATGAGGAGGAGGTAGCAAGCCATGTATTTGGCTGTGGTCCTCAGGAGATTTAACAACAGACGTCTTTCTTATGTAACAATTTTTGCACTCAGCGTAGATGTGATAATTATTGAATTATAACACATAGAGGGATGACCTGGCACTCCATTAAATTTATTTTGTTCCAGAATTATAGAGAAATATTTCTGACGTGGATGGTTGATTGTTGGGTCAGTGTTTTCTCCCAGAGGCTTTTGCAACTCTGAGCATATCAGATGACGGCATGCAAGGGTTGATATTTTTCTAATTTTTCTTCTTTTCAAATTTTCCAATTAAAGGCAAAGGTGAATGATGAGTCAATTACTGTGCTAAGGCAGCATTTGTAACCTCCTTATTTGTAACTTCCTGTTTCTGGAAAAAAAACCAGACTACTGGGATAAAAGAGAACTTCAGTGTGACGCAAACCATTTTCAAATCACCATTACACGGTGACACACCAAAGACAAGACATGGTGACACACCAAACTAGCAATTAAGCATCCATGGGTGGAAATTTAAAATATGAAGATAAAGTTAAAAATATGTACTATACATATTTGTTATTATTTATATTTTAGCTAATTATTTTAATTGAGTCTTTTTAATATTGTCTTTAAATTCTTTTAAATATTGTTTTGTAAAATGTACTGAAGATTTTAAATGGATTTAAACTTAAAATAATAATAATAACAATTATTATTATTATTATTATTACAGAGTAGAAGACTGTCTAAGGCTTCGTTCACATGCTATGTCTATTTTCCAAATTCTATTTTCTATTTGCGGTATGTCTTATGATCACGGTCTGTGGCCTGAATATCCCGCGGCGTAATTACTGGCAGCGCGAGCCAGTTACTATAAGTTACTATTAGTAACTGGCTCGCGCTGCCAGTAATTACGCGGCGGGATATTCAGGGCACAGACCGTGATCATAAGATAGCGCAAATAGAAAATAGAAATTAGAAAATAGACATTGCATGTGAACGAAGCCTAAACCCCCTTTCCCCACATCCCCTGTAACATGGCCTAATGACACCAAGTCCCTATCCCTTCATGTGAGGTTGAACTTTGCAGTCATAAGTCATCAGATCTGTACTTTATCAAAACAGAAACAGTTCAATAATACCAAGATGCCTTTCTCATATTGAAAATAAATAAATAAGCCATGTAATTGAATACTGTATTGATGAATGCTGGCAAGCTGCAGTCAAGGGAATGGAGGTTAAATAAGAAGATATAATTGTCCTGTCAGCGGCAATTTCGTGCCCAATCATTGGGCTGATAGTTTGTCCCCTGTGGGAGCTTTGAGTGGATAAGAGGTTGCTCTGGAAGAAACCCTGTGTTCAGTCATGGAGTACATGCTGTGCACAGTGAGCAGAATGTGGTCTTTGAATGTACACAATGGCATTTTTTGTGGGGGAGGGGAATCCTGAAGTAAAACAGTTGTGTTTCTTTTGTTTATTGTTGTTTTTTTGTAGTTCCACTCCTCTGTTTCCAATGCTAGGGAAATGTGATATATTGTAAACTTGAGTGTCTGTGATGACATTTTAGCGTTGAACCAGAATTGGAAAAATGAGAAAAATTTCTAGATCAATATGTATGTATCCATGCAGACATTCAGGTTTAGAAGTAGGAGCTGGTCATTAAGTAGGGGTCCAAGTGAACAAAAGATTGTCTCGAAACATGCCACATAAATGAAAGTATTTGTAATTTAAATTAAAAGCAAGAATTAAGTTAAAGTTTGTAAGCCACCCATCTCCCCTTTAATCTGCTACTCGAGTATTGCTGTGAATATACCGGTTAACATTTACTTTATGTGAAGTTTTTGAGAGCTTGTCAAATAATATATTCTGATGGAAAGGAATATTCTGTTTATAGATACTAGTATATATGTAAACATATAAAAACATTGTTCAAGTAGCAAATACCACATCACAGACTCAAACCCTCCACTGGAGTTAACCTCAAAAGAGACAGTAGTTGAGATATGAGACAGTCCAATAAAAAGACTTAAACCAATTTTCCTGAGACATTTATCAGATTACCCATAACTCTTGATAACCAGTGATCATTCTATTGCCCTACAAATCTAAATATTTCACATAAAAAATGCTTAAAGGGTCATTCTGTTTTTAAACTCAGTCCCTCTAATAATGTTAATGGTTACTTGCATTACTTGTATTATCCACTTTTAGTTTTTAACAGTGATAATGATTTTATTCCACAAAAAAGCATGTCGTTGTGAAGACTCTGGCGAATTGAATCAGATGCTAACTGCATGTTTGAGTAGGATTCTCAAGGCAACAAAAACCCAGCCTGTTCACTTTAGCTTTCAATCTAAAAAGAAGATGTAACTGAATTTCCAATTACCTCAATATTTAACTGTAATGGCCTTAACCTTAAGTTGTCTAGACAGTTTAAAGGCCAGCTGAATGACATAACAGAGGAAAACACTGAAAATCTCCACACTGGAAAAAAATTAAATCTAAGTACAAAAAGCTTTCATTTTAAAAGTTCCACTTTTTCAGAAAAAGAGCCCCGTTTTATAAGCCTGCTTGAACTACATTGGGCAATTTCACCAAAAGGTGAAGATGCATTTTAGTCATGTGAGTAGTGCATTTTGGGTAATATTTCAATATTAGGTTTGATGTAACAATTTTTCTTTCCATTTTATACAATGAAGCACCAATAAATATGGAAAAAATTTTGCAGTTATGGAAAAGAAATATAAAACATCTTTGCAATTATAGTACAAAATTCTTGCATCATAAATCTTTTTATTTATTTTTTTTTTTTGTGCCATTACAGACCCCATTAAAATTATCTCCAGTCAAAGTGGATTATACTTTATAGCAGCAATATCCCAGCATGCTGTCTGATAACAATTATATTTTAAATGGCAAGCACCTAACCAACTATACCTCGAGGTATTGGGTGGGACCACAGATTTACTAGTTTTGCGGTCTGTGTTGAGGTATTTTCGTTAGTCAGCTAGCTATAGCCTACAGAGATAGGCAGGACCAACTTTGTTGGAAACACCCATTAAGCATTAAAGGGGTCTTACCTCAAAATTGTATCTAAATTTGTTTTACTGGCAACTTCGGTCTCGGAAAAGGCTGGGCTCAGAAAAAAATATTGAGATAGATTTTAATATATAGCTTTCGTCAGGGATGGAGTACATACATTTGAATCAGGAAGCTCTGTTCAGTGTTTCATTATGATTTTTCCCAAAATTTTCAAGGACTTTTGTTAACCCCCTCCCCCCTCGCCCAAAATAAAAGAAAAAGCAAGCATCACGATCCTGAGTTTATTGGTCATATTGTGTCTTAATTTTATTCCAGGATTTCTGAGTACTGGTGACCATCATGCCCCAGGTAATACTGGCCTCCTTGACCAGACCATGGCCTTGAAGTGGGTCAAGGACAACATAGGTCACTTCGGTGGTGACACTGACCGGGTGACCATCTTTGGTCAGAGTGCAGGGGCCTCTTCTATTGGACTCCATCTGGTGTCGAGTAAATCGAAAGGTAAAGGCGTTGTACCTTTGTGACTTTTTTTTGCTGATTTATGGTATGTTGTTGTTGAGAGAGAGAGGGAGAGAGGAAACAGATTTCTATTTTGGTTATGACAGTCATTCAACAAAATTTAAAATCATTAGATTTCTGGATAATTTTTTTTTTTTTTTTTTGTTTTTGTTTTTGAAATTCTAAGCCCATATTGATAAGATAATTAAACATTTGTATTAAAATAAAGTAGATATATCTACTTTGTTTGACCATCTGATTTTTAGAAATAAAATTTAAGCCCAAAAAATCCTGCAGTTTATAAAAGAGGATATAGTATGGTACATGTATGTGTAATATTCATTCTTGAATATTGGATTTTTCTACAGGTCTCTTCCACCAAGTGATAATGCAGAGCGGGGTGGACCTAAGTCCATGGGCCATCCATGGTGTGCATAGTGCTCTCCACACCAGTAAAGAATTGGGGCGCATGGTCGGCTGCCCAACACACCTCAACGTGCTACTCGTGGAATGTCTTCGGAAGGTGGATGCTCAAGAGATTGCTGATTTCATCTCTGATGTGAGTGATTGACGGAGTGGGTGTGTTTAGATTTGCTCAGTTGATGTTTTAAAGATCAAGAATTTATTTCTATAACCTTCTTTTTGATGTGAGTGATAGGTGCAGTTATAGGAGGCAGGAGAAATTCTGATTATTTTGCATGTTTTACACCATCTGTTTATTCCTTTCATTTTTTAGCATACTGCAGTGCTATAACCAACACAGATGTTCTCAACTCATATATCAGTGCAATATGTGATATCTTTCAAGAAAAGATGAAGAAATTCACCTGCAGTGGGAAATGTTATCACTATTAATATGTCATATTTGCTGTGAGCGGCATGCAAGAAAAAAAATCATGTTTTGTTGATTTTTTTAACTGGGTACTTGGAAGATTATGAGTTCAATCAACAGCTCCATTCTAAAATAGAGGATGGATAGTTCCTGTGTTGGAGAATGTTTCAACAGCAGGGTAATTGTGCCTGATTTAGATGTCTTTTTAGTGCATTTAATTGAGACATAGAGATGAATATATAGAGATTTTTTTCAATATTTTTAAAGAAAGTTATTGATTATATATTTAATTTTAGTTTTCATTTATTTTTGCTAACATTTTAAAATGTTTGCACATCCAGGCACAATCTGTGTCAGTCACAGCTAACACAATGAGAATAAAGTCCTGATTTGATAGCTGACACAATTAAGGCTTGTTTATGAAAGATGCTGTTGTTTTGTGCTGCTCAGAATACATACTGTTACACAAATAGAGAAAAGTCTTTACCAGTTATCCTAATGTTTACTAATTATTATTCTTAATTATTGTACATGATCAGCCCCTAGGGTTATTGCAAGGAATTTTGAGAGTTTCTTTTTTTTTCCTTGAAAAAGGGATTTGAAATGCTTGTATATTTTACCTGTCTGCGCTCCATGTTCAGAGGATACTGTAACCTCATTTATGTTCCAGATTTCAGAATAGATCTACAATGGCCCCTTGTATTCCAGGGAGTTTCTATGGTGACTGCCTCATCAATAAACTACAGCTACTCTCCTCTCTATTTTAGTCTCACCAGGGCAGTGACCCCCTAGATCTACCATGGTCCCCTGTAGTCCAGGGAGAAGGGGAAGAATCATTTCTGGTTGATGATCCTAAAGTGCTGAGAGAAAATGGAAGGTTCCACCGTGATGTGAGAGTAATGGCGGGATTTACCAGTGACGAAGGGGCTGCAATCATACAGAGTGAGTTTACAATCGGTGAAATTAGTGAATAAAATTATCTAAAAATAAATGTTGAAAATAGTTTAGTTTAGAAACTTTATCCAGTGACCTTTTTTCCCATAGATAATTTAAGTGACCTTTTTTTTCTCCATAGAAATATTTTGTTTGTATGTTTAAAACACTCTTGAATTTATTTCTACCCAGGGATATTTGATGTTGAATTTCAGTTGAGAACAATTGTTTTATCGTGTACATGACCCAGTATGGACTATTTATAAGCATTTTTTTATAAAAAATATGAATAACATTAAAATTTGAATATAATTTTGTTAACCTTGACTTCATTGTAAGTGCAGTGAGCTACATTGTCAAATAAATAATTTAAAAGAAATAAAATAGAATAAGAAGGTATTGATTTTCATCCCAGGTATAGCTGACCAGTTTAACATGGCAGAACTTCTCCGAGAAGAAAAGATCAGTCAGACTGCTCTGGGGTCTCTCCTTCACCACTATTTCCCCATCAAGAATGGCATCCTGGCTGGAGAGGTCTACAACACCATAGCACGCGGGTACCAGAACACATCTGATGGCGTGGAGACAGGGGTCTACAGACAGGGAATGGTGGATGTGAGTATAGAGAGTATGCGAGTGTAGAGAGTATGTGCGTCTAAAAAGAGAATGTTAGTATGGAGAGAGCATGTGAGTATATGGAGAGTGATTATTGACACAGCTATAGATACATGTGTATGATATGTGTGCACAGGTACATATGCTTGGTATGATTGAGTAGAGTGAGTATATGGAATATGGAAGTATAGGGTATGTGAGTACAAGGAATATATATATATATAGAAAGAGTATTTTCATTTTAAGTTATTATTCTTTATGTTCCAGATTTCAACAGATTGCCAGCTTTTATGTTTTATGTAATGATGCCTTTTTTGTGTTTCAAACCCTTACATTTTTTCACCTAAGAATGTGTTATATTCTCCGTTTCAGATCCTGACAGACTATATGTTTGCTGCCCCTGCCCACCAGGTTCTGCGCCATCACAGTCAGCACAATGAGACCTTCATGTATGTGTTTGGGTACAGATCACCTAATATTAGGACCAATTTCTGGATGGGTAAGGAAAATTTTCATTTTTTGAACTAGACATATAGCTGGCAGGAGGAATGTCAATGTTTCAATTTATCAACCAGGAAATTGATGCAAATTGAAATACAAATTATTAATACATGTACATTTTTACAAGAGTTTTTTAAAACTATTTTTACATTAGAGTAATCAACAGGAAAGATAAGTTTTCATCTAGTAATTGGCAAAGAGAAACGAAAAGAATGCGTATTCAAATGTGATCATTTCATTCCATTTTTTTGTAATATACAAATTCACACCCCAATACAACACATAATATTTAAACAGAGCAAATTATTTTTGGTCAAAATTGGAGGTTTGTAAGGAAATTTATTAATAATCGTCAGGCACCACCCACAATGATGACCTGCCCTTTGTGTTTGGCCTTCCTTTTCACACAACCAAAATGAGGCATAATTGCTCGACCTTGGACAGCGCCCTCTACAGTAAGTTCTGCAGGGGGAAAAGGACACAGATTTTCTCTGACTACGTGTGCACACACAGAAATTGGTCATTCTGTAACGAGTACGATCACAGGATGGGGCATTCTAACATAGACTATGCAATCATCCCCCAGCAGTACGAGAAATTCGACCACGAGGACAGGATCATTAGTGACTATGTTATGGAGCTCTGGACCAATTTTGCGAAATTTGGGTAGGTAGAAATTTGAATTCTGTTATTTCTTGTTAAATCAGAATAGAGAAGTTTTTAGCCTTGTGATATTCGTCATAATATTAGTACCACCAGCCTGAGCACTGGCAGTACCAGACACGTATGGCTTTGCCAGCTCTTCATCATGTTGGTAGATACAAGTCACCATAATTGCTCCTCCTCCTAGACTTAACCTTTGTCTTCTTGTCTTCATGTATAATTTCAACTTGAACCCCCTAGATTTTGGGCTCTGTTGGTGCATTTGCCTAAAAATTTTGTAAAAGTCTTCAATTTTCTGCATTTTTTGCTGATTTTTCGTAATTTATGCATTTTTTTTTGTGAAGTTTTCATTTTTCTCATTCTGGCATTTTCAAAGACGTGTAAACCTGAACTCTCATGGGCCTGAACCCTTTTGCAAGTTACACATTTTACTAAGATCCATTTTACCTGTTGTGCATAATTAAAATTTGATGTTGACTTTGCTGTTAAGCTTAATGTATAATTGCATCAGAATTGACAATAGCCTATTTTGCGCATTATTATTTTCTGCTTTTTGTCTGTACATTTGACAGCTTTGCTGCCTTGCTTTAACATTGCAGGCATCCCACGCCACCAAAGACAGCCAACGCCACCTATAGTCAGCACAGTGAGATTGTCGAGTGGCACCTTTTTTTAAATCTAACACCTCGGAGGAAGACTCGCACTATCTTCATATAGACACACAGACTGTTATGAAGACTGGACTGAGAGCAGAGAACATGGCTTTCTGGACTCAAACATTCCCCTCTATCAAGGATAAGTATGTTGGTAAGTACATATATTTATTATGGGAGAAATATATAATTAGTTATAAATGCACCTTTTGCGTGCAGCCAATGTGAATAATCTGAGATATATCACAACTAGGTATAAAATCAAGCAAGATCTTGCAAATGTATTATAGAACATTATTGAATATCTTCAAATGCCTGTAGACTATCATTTTTGACAAGCAGGATCTTGGCTTAATCAGCTTCCATCAAGTTTTAACCAATTGTGAAACTTCCAGAAGAATTTTATCACAACATACACCATTTTCCTTTTGCAGAATTTGCACCAGTCATCCACGAGCAAGATGAAAGCACCACTAATGACCTGCTGAAGATTCTGCCATTCCTGGCTGGAGGCTTCCTGTTTGTGCTCATAGTAACCGTTGTCTTGGTAACACACAGGCGACAGCAGCCAAAACCTTCCAGGCAAAACAGCTACAACAGAGACAATAGCAAGACGGTGGCGACACCTATCTTGACATATGCATCGTACGATGTGTATGAGAATGCTGAATCTGTGTAAAATGGAAAGGATGCTGTGATGATAAAAGAATTATGTATTTATCTTTATTTAATTGTGTTGAATGTGGAGAAATAATGCCATCTACTTTAAATTATGTGTTGTGTAAAAAGATATATATATATATAGTATATAACATGTATTGTGATAAAGGGGGGGGGTGCACAAATACATGTAGCATTGAAGTAATTATTGTTTACCTCATGCAAATTTACAACTGGAGTTCTTAAAAATAAGAATAACGATACCACTACAGTCATTCTGCTTTGACATCGCCAATTGTCAGAGAAGATACATGGAGCAACTCATCGCCTACAACTAGAATTGATTTTGATTGAAAAAATCTTATGTAATGAATATTTTCCTTGGCTTTGACTGAAATTGGTATGAACATTACTCAACTCAAGTCTCCATAACTCTAACAATTAATTTTTCCAGTGTCAGAGTTTTACAGATTATATTACTAGGAACTAACCGTACGTATCTTTTAAGATATTTAAAAACATCAAATATTTGTTGTGATATTTAAAGGGTAAAGTGTAAATATTGAGAATATTTTAAAAAGAGACTGTGGTAAGCACTTTATATTGTCATGTTATCTGTTGTTAAAAGTGGTGGTTTTAAATTTGATAGATTTATGACATAAGTCTGCAAACACTAGTGGGCTAGATTTGGTCTTAAAGTGCAATTTAAGTTCACAAGTGATCTTACACGATCTTAATCATTACAGCAGTAGTCTTAAAATGGACTGAATCTGCTTTAAAGATCAAAAATGATCTAACATCTACTTAAGTAGTCAAGCAGTTTCCTCCCCTCACAATGGGGGATACCTCCCCTCACAATATAGGAGAATGTGTAAGGGGAGACAACTTAATTGGCTGTCAGACTGTTTTAAGATCATAATTTAATCATGTAAGACTATTTGTGTTCTTTAATTGCACTTTAAGACCAAATCAAGCCCACTAGTGAAAGGCGTAGGTGTGCAGCTGTGTTCTCTCTTTCATGAAAATGCAGGGAAGGTTTCATTCAAGATCACACTAAGAAGAAAAAAAACAAAAAAGTTTTTCTTTAAGACCAAAATTTAAGTCTACTTGAGCTTAAGGACAAACCTAGTCCACTAAAATAAAGTGATCATATAGGTATTTAACAGGAGTCACAATTCTCTTGTCATAAACCGTATGAAATATTTTTTTTAATTTGACTTCTACATAAAAATACAGTGTATTTTAGTTGAAAAGGGAATGTCACTTTCTCAAAAATACATAAAATGATTATTTCTAATTATTTGCAAGCATTTTATGTGCATTTTGATCATTTTCAGACCTGGGTTCTTTAATTCAAAAGGATCATGAATTGCGACTGAGCATATGCGTCTCTATTCCGTAACTTGGCACTTACTCCCCCCATGTAATAAATAGCCTGAAATGAAAGGTGATATCGTAATTCGAGGTGCTTTCGAGTTATGGAGCCCAGGTCCACACTATGTCTGATAATGTTCCAATATGCTAGATACATATGCTGAGAATAATACACAACTAATTTTTTTGTGCAAATATGAAAATAGTTGAAATTAAAAAACTTAAATTTTTTTTTTTTGTTTTAAGTGAAAAAAGCAATTTTGTGGGTCTTTCATGTTAAATCGAGAAACTTTTTATCAGATATTTTAATTGTATGTGATATTTAAGTGCCAAGCTTCAATCTTACTAAGTACGTCAGACAGCAAAGCTTGCAAATATACAGGTACCAAATAGCAGTATTTACATACAAGGCAGCAAAAGTTTTGGAAGGACAGTAGTATCAGTGTCAAAATTGATGGAAGAAGTAACATAGTTACTACTGACACACAACTGGAAAATATCAATTTTTGGTGAAAGGAAGTTACGGAAGTAGAATTTCCTTTAAGAAAACAAATCAGCCTTCCATTTAATGAACAGCACTTCAGCAGTAAATGTTATATTATATTACAATATCCCAATTGAAAAGTCACAGCCTCCTGAGCCGTTTGGGGAATTAATATTATCACTGGTTGATATATGAAAAGCACAAATAAACAGAAGTTTTGCCATTTTATGTACAAAAAACAAACAAACTATGAATAAAGTTATGCTTTTGGAAACAAACCATAATTGTGATCTCTTTACTCCATTCAGTGAAACATCTAGTTAATTGCATTAGGTGAGCTACTCTGCTCTCCACCAGTTAAATGCGTTGGGTGAGCTACTCTGCTCTCAACCAGTGTATTGCATTAGGTGAGCTATGTATTTTCAAACATCATACATCGCCAGCATTTGCAAAAACATTTCTAAACATTGCAACAGGATATATCTCAGGACGAACATCCTCACCCACATTCTCTTCAAACTCCTTTTTGCAGTTATCCTCAAATTCACTTTTCACCAAGCCTTGTACAGCCCAAGTCTCTGGATACATTTCACCTGTCTCAGTTTTAGACGGAACAAAATTGTTTTGTTTTAATCCACTAGGGTTTTCCATTATCCCTTGTGTATATCTTAAAATCTTTTCTTGGGTGTGACTCTTCTCATGCTGTTTACCTTCCCATTTCCTAATAAATATCCTTTCACAGTATTGGCATTTAAACTTTTTTTCTATAACGTGAGTTATTTCATGTTGTTTAAATGCATATTTTGTAACGAATGTCTCTTCACAATACTGACATTTAAAATATTTTTCTCCAGTGTGAGTTCTCTCATGCTCTTTACAGCTTTGTTTTGTACTGTAAATCTTCCCACAATACTGACATTTACAACGATTTGCTCCTGTGTGAGTCATTTCATGTCTTTTAAAATTGGCTTTCCTATAAAATCTCCTTTTACAGCACTGACATTCAAATGATTTGTCTTCAGTGTGAGTCCTTTCATGAAGTTGCAAGTAAAATCTTGCAATGAACATCTTTTCACAAAAGTGGCACTTAAATGTTTTTCCTCCTGTGTGTAGCCCCTCATGCCGTTTCTGACTGCACCTTACACTGAATCTCCTTTTACAGTACTGACATTCAAATGGTTTTTCTCCAGTATGAATCCTCTCATGACTTTTTCGGGTGGCATTTGTTCTGAATGTCTTTTCACAATACTGGCATTTATATTGTTTTTCTTCAGTTTGAGTCTTCTCATGCACTTTATAGTCACATTTTGCACTGAATGCCTTTTCAGAATCCTGGCATTTAAATTGGTTTTTCTCAGTGTGTGTTCTCTCATGATGTTTACAGACCCATTTTATATTGAAAGCCTTTTCACAGTACTGGCATTTAAATATTTTTTTTTCCTGTTTGAGTAATGTCATTTTGTCTACACCCATCTTTTTTATGATGCATCTTTTCTCTGTAATGACATTTACACAATTTTCTCACGGAAATTATTGTGGCTGCAACCAATTTTTTTTCCAGTGCTTGCATGTAAATATTTTTCATCCCAGTCTGAGTGTTTTTTTTTTTTTTTTAATTTCTATTTGGCTTCTTTCACGTGATTTTTTGTCGCTGTACTGATAATTACATTGTCTATCCCCTGTGTGAGTTCTTCCTTCTGGAGTGCACTACTGCCACTGACAGGATATCTTGTATCACAGTACTGGCTCTTGTTTGGAGTTTTACCCTCTTCACTCACGGCAAGTTTTCCTTCAGTCTTTTACACAATGTTCTAGCTAGTACCTTCATTCTTAAAAAAAAAAAAAAAAAAAAATTTATATATATGAGAATATAAGCATTTTTAACATTGATTAGAAGTCATAAGTTGCCTGTTAATATGAAAGCATGAATGAAGTTTGGCTTAATATTACAAAGAAGACTATGCAAGGTTGACAAACAAGCATTGAACGATCGAAGTAAAATACACAATATTAGCACAATACAACTGTATATTCTGAGTACTTAAATATATATGGCAATGTCTGAGAATTCAAAACTGCAAAAAAACATGCAAACTTCTTGAGATGATAAGTGTGGCAGACGACCCAATATGCTAAAAACGAATTTTAACAATTTGCAAATTTCAGTCGACGATATCATAATCGGTTACCTAGCAAAATATTTCACTTTTATATCACGGACACCCTTGCTAGGTATATCACAATCTGCTAGGGGCGCTACAGTAGTAACTATCCAGGGGCAGTGAAGTGTAAAACTGATATTGGCCTGCTGACAGCTCGCCTTTTTTTAATCTCTCTTTTAGCGCCGTGTAAATAAACAAATACAAGCCATTTACTAGATAAGCTGTAAATCAAAGAGTAAATTCCGGTCACATAATTTTCCCGTGTTGCAGTTTAATACCCCGTTCACACTGCAGTCATTTAACCGGTTAAATAGCGAATTAGGTCAAGATTCGAATTATTGCGGTAGTCTGAACGCATGAGGATTTTTGTAAACCGGTTTCCAACAATCCTACTAGCGAGCTGGATTCTCTCCAGCGATTCGGTTACTTTACCGGAAGGGCCACCTGTTTAGATCGCACTGGGCATGCACTAGCAAATCTCGCGGGAAAGAAAAGCAACATGCCAGGTCAATGGACCCACACTCTCCATCGGAACCCAGCTATTCTCCTTCTTGTATCTGTCAAATTCTTCCAGATCTTACTTAAATGTTCCTTTTGCCGACTTTTGAGTTAAATTTGATGTTCCAAAAACAAACACACAAGAAAAAAAACTGAGTGCGAGAAGAGCAATGATTGGCGCCATATTTTTGTTTTCATGGATTCTGCGCATGCGCGATTCTTCAAACCGGAACCTCCACCTGAATTTTCAGTGCACGATTCGGTTTCCCTTTGCTGTGTGTGGCCACACAACCGAATCGGATTTTTCACCCGTAATTCACATTGCAAAAATTCGGATATTTCAGATTGTAGTGTGAACGGGGTATTAGAGCAGGGGCGGATTCAGAGATATTTTCTGACAGCCTTCCAAATTATCTTGTCTTCTGACAGAAAAAATTAGATACCCGTCAATGTAAACTTGAAAATCTGACCGTCTTCCGGAAGACCCAGAAGACGGCCTAAATCCGCCCCTGTAGAGAACTTTGATTTGAGGACGTTTTTAAGTTTTGCCTTGACAAAATGTTAAAAATTTCAGATAAGTAGTGCATGGAAGCTTTTGTAATTTATGTCGTGTAAAGTTTATGAAATTTACAATATTATGCCGAAAAATCATGAAAATTGAACCATGCGAAGTATAGTTTATTTGATGCGCAATATTTATAGTACATCTGCACGGAAGCCATCCCAGCAATGTGCTTGCGCGGTCGCCAATTTGGGTTTGTTTCCGGGTCATTAGATTAACATACAGCCCTAATTGCCCTAATTGGCTACAGCTGAGTGATCACCGCTGGTCAGTAGTTACAGGTTTTTAGCTGAAGAGTGTGGACACTTTTGGTGAATTTTTGCAGTTAAAACACTTCAATATCTTTGTTGCTTGTAGGAATATTTTAAAAATCCCAAAAGAATTCATCTGTTTTTTGTATTACCTTTCAGAAGATATAAGTATAATAAATTTCTGATCAGTTTGAAAAAATTTCTGATATACCTACCCTTGCCGTTGCGAATGACTTCGTCCTGTTTATCGCATCCCGAGTCATTTTATCCTGTGTATTGCGCTATAATGAGTAATTTAGTATTACTAGTTTATGGCCCAGCAGTAAAGCCCAAGCATTATACTCACCACATGCTGGCTGCCTTTTGATTTTACAAAGTTGGACAAAGTTCTATCACAGAAGTAGAAAGCTTTCTAATGTGGTTCTACATAAAGTGGAAAAAGGAATGACATACGCTTCGAAACTGCTTTGTCCAGTTCTATCCAGGACAAGCCGCATTCCAATTCCCTTATACAGAGGATAACGTTACAGCACGCAATGAAAACTTCCGATTCTCATTAGCTGATTAGGGAACCTATTTATGGAATGAAACTGAACATTTAAAGAAGAAGCATTAAGTAAATAAATAATTTAGGCAAAGATGTATGGAATCTGTTTCTTCACTTATTATCAAACACGAACTTTACTCAGCGACTTATCATGTTCCTAGTAAACGGTAAATGTGGCGTATTTAAAATTAAAGGTCACACAAAAAGCCAATTAAACTGTAATGCATAAAATCACAAAACACTGATTATAAGTATTCTCTTTTATTTACATAAAATTGCTCCTCCATCTCATCATCATTTATTTTTTAGTCTCGCCTTAAGTGTCACTGATAGGACCGAGTTGCATATCGACTAATGAAAAAATTTTCCAGTTAAATTTCAACAAAAATAAACTGTCACTTTAGGTCTCAGTAGCAAAGCAGAGGAGCAAAACGCTTAATGTTTAGTGAAGTGGTGGTCATACAAACAGTTTTAAATTGCACAATCTTATCCTTATTAGAGCAGATAGCAATTAAAGCCACATATGGCTCGACATGTTCTCTATAACAGAACATCGGACACTGGGGCCAGTAGTTGTGTCACAAACTGCACTTTTTTTTTCTATAAAAATAAATCAATTTTCTTTCATATAATCTCCAGGCTCAACCAATTCCTTAAAATACTCAATAACAATAAAATAAATAAATGAAATGTAATAAAAATTACCAAACATTACTTTCAATGGTTAAAAAAAGCAAGATTTGCTAATGTAGTTATAATTAGCTCTCCTACCAACTGTTCAGCTTGCAATTTCGGCTCAGTTCTTTGTATATTCATGACATTCAATGAAACTGTATCTATAGATGGGTCATAAGCATCTACATATACTATCAATACCCCGCACTTTCTGCTCTACTGAGACGCATCATTGAGCCATCACTTATCAAGTACAGTAATAAAGAGGTCATGGCCTCTTCTAAACAAATCTTAAAATAAGGCGTCGGGACCAGAACTAACCCCCATCCCCCTTTTTTATCGCAGATCTGCATCGATATCAAAAATGATAGTTTTGGCTCCAAAAAAGTTGGAAACCTGCCAATATTCAGAAAAATCTTTTCCTACTCTCCTTGAAAACCATAACTGTTCACGTGGGAATCTTCCTGAAGAACCCTCTTTATTCATTTTCTACTTATACATCTGTCACTGGTCCCCCCAAAGTCCAGCTTGCTTTATTCTTAAGTCATTCTCATGCTTTTTTCTCTGCTGCTTTCCATATCTGTCATCCTTTCATTTTCTCTTTTTTTAAGAATTCTTTCTTTCAAAAGAATTACGTTTCATTCACCAATCTGTTACTGTCAATCACTGTCAGCACTTTCCTTTTTGTGTTTCTTTTTCTTCTTCTTTTTCTTTTCAGATTTCTCCTGAAAACATACCACAATGCGTAATAATCTTTTTTAAACATTTAAATGTGACATTTGAATCCTTAACTTGGCTGTAGTTAAAGGAAATCAAAAAGTTTTCAAACTTGATTCTAATTCCCCTGCATGTTTTGCAACACGGAAATTAAAACATTTTGATGCAAGCTGCAAATACATTGGCTTCCAAAATGTTAAAATATATTTTTTTAAATTAATTTGCGATCTATCAATAATTTAGTTAAAAAAAAAAAAAAAAAACCTGTCAGAGCACTCACCACATCTGGTTCTTCTGCACTCTCTTTCTTTTTCTTCTTCTTTTTCTTCTCACTGCTTGGAGTGGCTGGAGCAGGGGTGGCAGGAGCACTCTCGTCTGAACTACTGCTGGAACTGTGCCTCCTCTGAAAGTACAGAAAAATGAGCNGTTGTACTTATTATGACAGAAAAAATAATTTTTGAAAAATACCCCAAATATGCCATCACAAACCTAAGACAGATGGGATAAGGTTATTTATTAACAAAATTCAATCACACGCTCTAGTCCTCTTTATCGCTCTCCACCTTGTTTTGCACTAAAATTTTCGTAATGTTTTCCACAATTAAGTATCGTGACATCTATAAGATTCTTTAGAATCTTACACAGTGTTTATGAACACAGTGTTCCCAATATTAAATCTCAAGAATAACAAATCCCTTGCCTAACAATAATTACATAAATATATCTGGTCAATCTTCATCTAATACATCCTGTTCTGGTAAAAAACCTAATTACTGAGGGGAAAAAAATAATACAACATGAGCCCATTTCAATTTTAAAAAAATGTTGCTTTCACCCCATTAAATCACAGATTTCCCTTTAAATAATCACGGAACTCCCCGACAAACAAAGACCCTTCCATCCACAATGCCTTTGCATACACCCTCACGGTGTAGAAAGCTGTAACAAAGTCTGTGGTTCCAAACACAGTGTCCGCCAGGGCAAAGGGAAGTGTGGATGGTATAAATCCTCGGCCATACTCTACCATCCATGTGTCGGCTTTGAAGTTAAGAGATGTGACCTCTCCCATTCCATGATAAATGGTGTCCCCTGAAATGTATTTGATGTATACGAGAAGGAGATTGATATTGCAGTGATGAATAAGTAAAGAAACAAAGAAATAAGGGTGCATAAAAAATCTGAATGAAAATTATCTAAAAAAAGAAACGAGTGATTGAGTGAATGTGCATTTACAGGGTGGGTGAGTTGATATATATACCAGTGAATGAATTAATGAAAAAACAAAGAAACAAACAAATATATTATGAATGAAGGTCTATCACATCTTACAACAATTTGAGGTATTGAGAGACTAACACATCACCATTCACGTCAACAAGTCTAAATGGTGGCTTGAAATGTACTATAGCTTATGATTCTCATCATCAATAACTTAAAGATGGCATACAAAAACGTACTGTTAAGCTCTTGTTATTAATGTGATGGTATATAGCAACGTAGTGTATGGCTCTCATTATCAATAAAAAAGTGAACAGAAACATAGCAGATGGGCCTCTGAATTAATTCTGTATATATTGGAGTCAAGAACTAGTGTTTTATCACCAGGTCCTATGTATTACCAGGCCCATAAAGTATTAAATCTGTATTGAAGTCAAGAAAAACTGCATTTTATAAACTCCTTACCAGGTCCATAAACAGTGCTTTTCATTTCCCCTTCCTTCCACTGCAAGTATTGTCCAGTGATCAATGTATCTGAGATATTGGCCCAGTACCTGCCTGTTTAAATAAGGGACATATATTTAGACAGCTGGCTACTAGATGAAATTTGTAATAATTGGGAGGAAAACTACAAAATCAGAATGCAAACAGATATTCTTCTTTAGAATAAGGCTGCTGTATATTTCTGCTGTGAATACTTGCACAATCAGAAATATTGAGTTGTGTCATGGTATCTTTGTCACCCCATAAATTTCCTTGGCACTCTTACTCTCCACTCTTAAGAATGTAACAAATGAAAAGATAGGATATAAAAATATGACTCCTCATCTATGTATACACCAAAGCCCAAGGTATAAAGTCTATGGAAACTCACCATACATGGCTAAAGGATTTAATACTTAAATAAAAATAAAGAATAGAGGCACAATCAGCCCTATGATATCCAGTGTCTGGGGTAGCGCTAGCAATTTTTGTCGCTTAACCAAATCACCACTTTTTTGTCAATTTGTTATCAAAATGGTTATAATTTGACTAAAACAAGTCAAATCAAGCCCTTTTTCTTTAGCCAATTTAAGTAAGTTTTAGCATTTGGCTAAATTGGCGAGTGTTAGCGCTACCCCAGAGTGTAAAAAACTTTACGTCTGTGATACCTGAGTGCCCTGCTGTATCGATGGCTGTACCAAAGAAGAGAACATACTCTGTCAGGGAGGCATGAACCACCATCATACTCCCCATCCAGCCTCCTGCATTGACAAAGATCCATTGATGATCTCTACTGGGAAGTATGTGCCCTGGGTACAGATCCTCTAGTTCTTTGAGGATATCTCTGAATGCTGCCTCAGCCTCATAGCCTGAAAAATTAAGTGTGTTAGGTGAGATAGTGAGCTGTTTGTTATTGTGCTTGGCGTGATAGTGGGTCAAGTGACAATCTATTAGGTAAGATAGCTGTGACAGTCTTAGAAAATGTGTCAACAGACAAATGTTAGTCTTTGTAACTGTTTTTTTACTGTTATTACTAATTTTTACCATATTATTTAGATTATTAGATTATGTACTTGGTGTGATTGCATTAGGCGTGTTAAAGCACTGGAGAGAAAAGGTCTTGTGCAGAGGCATTCATTTTCTTTGAATGTGCATTGCAAGGATTAATTTGTTATTCAGTGGCATCATGTTCTGTAGGATTTTTTTTTAGGAAGCAGCTCTCTATTAACAGCCTGTCAGTGATATTGCATTAGACTACGATAAGGCAAAATATTTCATTAACTTACGCATCTGTGCTGAATGACACAAGCAAACGATTCACTGATCGTCTATGCATGGTCATAGGGCTCGTACACAATGAAAACAAACGATGTTAAACAATGACACAACGGTAAATACCTGCATATTTCTCTGATATCTTGGCTATCTTCCCTGCATCAAACACATAATCTTTGTTGGATAGCCAAAAGTGTATACCATAAACAAGTACACCTAGAAGTAAGCTAATTTTAACTAAAGAAATGATACATCTGAGCATGCAGACCACCATTTTGAACCAAACAAACTTTGCCGCTTTTCATTGGTCGAGTTTTGTAAGCATGACCATGATTGGCTTATTTTTTAAATAGTTTTCTAATCTCCTTAAAAGAAGATTATTCAGTTTATCAGGCAATGAGGTTGTAGTATTTTCAAGACTGCGGAGTTCTATTTAAACAATTTATAATTACTTCCGTTTTAGGACAGGTGAGTTGTTTGTGGTTACCTAAGCAAGCTAAAGCTTTTCCCGTGTTACTTTTTTTTTTGAAATGAAAGCAAATAGTTTTGTGTGACCAAACTAACAGTTCTTTTGGAGTTGTGCTTAATTTGTCTAACTAGTCGATTGCTTGTTCAAAAATTAGTTAAAAAATAAACGCACCTTGCGGCATGCTATCGACGAATTCTTAATTAAAGCCGAGCTTACCGAAGTGTGCATGCACAAAACAGCAAAAACTTGGAATTATGTTTGTAGGACATTAACTAATTAAAAGCGGCATTGGCCTTTGACGAGAACGGTAAATAGAATTAGATAATAATAATGATAACCCCCCCCCCCAAATTGGAAAAATAAAGTCCTCGATCATTACAAACATGAAACATACAGTAGCTCTCCTACCCGAAATAAAGAGACCAAGGATGAGAAATTAAAAAAAAAAAATGCTGAGCTCATCACACAAAGTTGATATCAAACACCTATCATTTGATATTTAATTTTTTACTTAGTTGTATCATGAGTGAGTCTTTCTAAAAGTGATCTCGAAAACTTAAACATTTAATCTTTATTTTCTTATGATCACCATCATTGGTGTTTTTCAAAACTTCCAAGAACCTTTGTTTTGCATAGGCAACTAGTAACTTCAGATACATAGACAACACATGGAATCACAATCATTGGTGTTTTTTGAAACTTCAAGAACCCTTGTTTTGCATTGGCAACTGTCAAGACCCCTCATGATTGGTAAACACGAGCCAAAAGCTTTCAATACTGCATCATTTCCCTCTCAAACTTGTCGCCCATGGGGAGGATGCACAATTTTCCCATCAATATGTCCCCTCTTCACAGACAGATAACAAGCTGACAGTGTGTCGAGGGTCAGTTAGCTATGATGTCTTTGGTTCTGACCAGCTGATCCTAATCATATCCAGCAAGATGAAATGACTTCTATTGCTACTTGAACAACCATTTGGAAGACTTTGATTGTCTCTAAGGAAACATCACCTATGCCCCTGAGATTTTTGGTGAACCTGTTTCTTGACATGTTACTCCAATCCACATGGGAATTAACTTTTTCATAGTTAGATTTAAGACTACTCCAATTTTGCACGTTGTCAAACAAGTTTCTTTGGTGCCTTCTTGTTTATCTTGTGTAAGGGTCTTTGTAATCTTATCCTTTCTGATGTGGTGGCCAAAAGCCTTTAGTTTCATTCTTGAGATGGTTTGTAAGTTATTCTCAGACTCACTTTGAATAGTTTCTTTAAGCTTACACCATAAAATGTTCCAAAAATGTTTAGTAGGCTACTAGCTTTCCTACTGATTTAAATTCAGACACTGTGAGCTTCTTTTGCATATTCTTGGATGGTGTCCAAAAAAAAAAATAAATAAAAAATGGACATGAATGATGAATTTCACCATGTTTTGTCTTGATATTTATTTATTTTCAAATAAGGGGCAAAGGAACTATTTAATGCAATAGAATTATATGGCAAAAGATCAAACACTTATTAATTGTTTTTCTAAAACCCTCCATACACTTAATAATCTCTGTAAATAAGGTTATTATTATTATTATTATTATTATTATTATTATTATTATTATTATTATTTGTTTTCTATGGGTTTTGATTTTTATTTTTAGGTTTATAAATTATGAATTAATTTTATATGTAACAGTAATTAACATACATGTTTTATAATAAGGAACAAAAATTATAAAAGAACACTACTTTAGGGTCTATGAGGAATGGGTTGTCTGTGAGAACAGATGATTTTATTTATTTATTTATTTATTTATTTATTTATTTATTTATTTATTTATTTATTTTTATTTTGTTTTTATGTTTAGAATGGATTAATCAGTACTTACAAAACAGAAAATGCATGAAGGCAGAATACACATGCTGTTATTATGTTTTTCATCATGAGTAATCAATACCCAGACTAAGCCCAAACTAGCCTACAGGATTGGCATGAAAGTACAGCCTAACATGACTGAAATTTGTCAAATTAAAAATAAACAGAGCTTTCTACCTAAGGAGAACTGATGTAGTTTTTTTAATACTGTAAGTTGTATTATAATTAAATTACAAAAATATTGAGTAGAATACATACTAAGGGAGGTAGACTGATATATCATTGCGTGCACATTTCTAATCAAAACTCCATTCAGCACAGAGGAATCAGTAACACAGACAACACCTGGCATCGCTATCATTAGTGTTTTTTAGAAACTTCAAGAACCCTTGTTTTGCGTAGGCAGCTATCAAGACGCTGCAGGAACTGGTAAACACGAGTCGAAAGCTTTCAATACTGCGTCATTTCCCTCTCGAACTTGTCGCCCATGGGGAGGATGCACAATTTTCCCATCAATATGTCCCCTCTTGACAGACAGATAACAAGCTGACAGTGTGCTGAGGGTCAGTTAGCTATGATGTCTTTAGTTCTGACCAGCTGATCCTAATCATATCCAGCAAGATGAAATGACTTCTATTGCTACTTGAACAACCATTTGGAAGACTTTGATTGTCTCTAAGGAAACATCACCTATGCCCCTGAGATTTTTGGTGAACCTCTTTCTTGACATGTTCCTCCAGTCTACACGAGAAATAACTTTTTCACAGATAAGCTTAGACCATAAAATGTTCCAAAAATGTTTAGTAACTTTTCTACTGATTTAAAGTCAGACACTAAGCTTCTTTTGCATTTTCTTGGATAGTGTCCAAAAAATGGACATGGCTGGTGAATTTCACCACCATTTGTCTTGACATTTATTTATTTTTTTTTTCAAATGAGGGTCAAAGGAACTATTTTATGAACAGAATTATATAGCAAAAGACCAAACACTTAGTACTAGTACTAATATTGTCTTTCTAAAATCCTCCATACTCTTAATAATCTTCGTAAATTAGGTTATTAATTTTTTTCNTTTGTAAAAAAAAGATGATTTTTTTTCATTATGTTTTTTATGTTTAAAAATGGATTAATCAGTAAAAAAAAAAAAAAAAAAAAAAAAAATGCACAAAGGCAGACTACCTATGTTGTAATTATGCTATTTTTCATCAAAAATCAATACCTAGACCAAGACAAAGCTAGCCAAGAGGATGGGCATGAAGGTGACAACCTAAATGACTGAAATTTGTCAAATCAGAAAAATAAAAAGAGATCTCTACCATAAGAAGGACTTATGAATTTTTAAAATATTTTAAATTGTATAATAACTAAATTTAGCGGATACTGAAAAGAATACATACTAAGGCAGGTAGACTGATTTATCATCGCGTGCACATTACTAATCAAAACTCCATTCAGCATAGAGGTATTTTAGTAACATACACAACACATGGCATCACGATCATTTTTCGAGACTTCAAGAACCCATGTTTTGCGTAGGCAACTATCAAGACATCCATTACCTCGCACAAACTGGTAAACATGTCATAAGTTTACAATACTTTTACCCTTACAATACTTTCTAATAATTTCCTCCTCAAATGTCTTGTTTTCACTTTATGTATTGGCTGTTTCACAATAAGGGGTACAAAATAGGGGTCACATTGAGAGAAAAATGAACTCTGATGCATGTGTTGAATTTTGTAACAGATAAAAAGAATAACATCTTTTTTCTTCATCTGTTTTACTTTTATTCACCAGACATTAATTTAAACTTTTTCTTTCTGTTGCTTGGTCTTTTTATTTATTTATTTATTTATTGATTGATTGATTGATTGATTTATTGTTTCCGTCTTGATTCTTGTATTTCGAGTCTTTTCTTCTTTTTCATCTCTCGTTAATTTGCACCTCTTGCTCTGCTGCTTTCAGGATTGTTGGGTTTCTGCTTCTCCTTGACTCTCTGTCAGTATGCCCTTATTTCTTTCTCTCATCTTTAGTCTTTCTTGCTGGACCAGCCTTGGATGATTCTTCATTTTTTGCTTCTCTGCTATGTTACGTCCATTCAACATCTTCCTTACGTGCTTCAGCATGACTATTAGCTCTTTGACGTTTTTTTTTTTTTTTTTTCAAATTATTTTTACTGACAGTAAAAATTTCAGGTTTCCCTTTTCTTTTCCTATTTGGCTTTTGTTCATTGTCATCCATGTTTGATACTCTATCCACTGAGATAAATATACCTCTGTTAATTATGCATATATTGCAGTGTCCGTACCCCCTCAAAATATATCATATACATTAATCCATAGAATATGAAATTGGAAGCAATATTGCTCATTTTGAATGCAAAGAATTCGGTATCTTTAATGATATTATTTTTTTTGCAAAATGTCTTGCCTGACTCTTATTAATTAGTATCACTTTATCAAATATACATTTATATACAATGTTTTTTCTACACGTCATAGGGCATGAATGCATTTTATACAATCTAGAACAATATTTTGTACCATATTTTGAAGTTTTATCATCATTGATAAGTAGCCAGTTATCCAATGGTTAATGTATAACTTGGGGGGTACGGACACTACAGTAGGGGTACGGACACTACATAATTCTTGCATATCTTTTCATAATAAGGGGCAATGTGTTATTTTCTTCCTGAAAATAAGTGTCAGTGTGGACATACATAAAATAATAAAATAAGACAGAATATGCTGTGATTCCTATATAGAACAGATAGGGGGGTACGGACACTACAAAAATTAGGACACACCAAGGGGCTCATGATTATAAATGCCATAGCATTATTAATAATGGTTACATATGCACAAATCCTTTATTATGTTTAAGTCATAACATGGTAAATTCATCTTATTATCACGTAGGTGATTTCAAAGTAATATTTGGCCTTATCAAATATGGTTTTCATTGCATTAACAAAAATAAGTAAAATGTGTACAAAAGCCTGTTTCAGCAAAATGGTAAAAATAATTTTTTTCTCAGAACATTTCTTTGGAAGAACCTGCTAGAAGAGTAGACATATGTTGTGGGAATTATATACCAATATCACATTCACCATAAATCATTGCCATAAAGAGCTAGTGCATCATATTTATGACCTTAATTGCAAATGACCCATCGTAACAGCTAAAAATAGGTACTTTTTGAACACATAATTGGCTATATTTTTATGTACAGACACAGATGTGTCTGTACATATTGCCATCACCTGCGTCTGTCGTCGCTGTCGCCGTCCATGTCGCCGTCGCCGTGCACTTTTATCGTTAACACGATAAGTGGAAGACAGTTTTACTTTTTGGCTTTTTATTTACAGAGCTGATGAATATTCATAAAAACGCAGGTTAAGTTCAAAAATCAGCATGATCGGGCCATTATTGTAGAAGTTATGCTGTTTTTTTCACTTTTCAGCATATATGCAACACTGTAAACACAATATAAGAAAAACAGATAGGCCAATTGTCATGAAACTCACAGGAGTGGTTAATCTTACTAAAATGCAGGTCAAGTTCGAAAATCAGCATAATCGGGCCATTATTTTAGAAGTTATGCTGTTTTTTCACATTTCCTCAGTGTGAAGGTCCACTGAAGGCAGGTGATAAACTCACTCATTTACATATTATGTTTATATAATCAGTCATCATTATCATTCACTTGGCTTCAGTCTTGCATGAATATTTATCATTCTCTGTTTAACTAAGTAAGCTTGGGGCAAATGCATATCTGATAAGTAGAAACTACTGCATTGCAATGAGTATTTAAATCAGTTGCTGCCACTGTGGCATGCTGATAGATTCCTGTAGATAATGTGTATAAATGCTGAATGCTTGGACTTAATAAAGGACTTTTAGACTTGGAACTGAATATGTGAGTCTGTGGTTATATTCCCTCTCCCATGCATCAGTGACAAGTGAAATATTAGAAGAACCTGGGTAGGGAGGAACATGGACCTCTACATCAGATTCATTTCTTAGGCATGTTAACAGTCTCATTATTGAACTAATAAGATATGTAAAAGTGTTTGTTTGACATTTCCTGCATCTTTACAACATTGTTAGTTGATTATGTAAAAATGATGGTAAAGTTGTAATCGTGTATTGTGTAATAGAGTTTCAAAAATGGAAATAAACTCATATCATTGCAGTTTGTCAGATTCAATCATTCAGTATGTTCAGAATCTCAGAATGGAAGAAATTGGACATTTAACACTGCTCTATTGATATTTTTCCCATCTCGTCAATTTTCTTAGTTGATCATATAAAAATGGCAGTAAACTGTTAATTTTGTTTTATGTTAAAAATTGTTAAAAATGGAAAAACATTTCAGAACAGTGCTGTCTTGTTTACATTTTGGCATTTTCAAGTTGTGACTTTGAAGTTCCATGGGCCTGAAGACCTTTGCTAGTCACATTTTCTGAATATCCATGATACTAATATTTTGTTATTAAAAATTGATGGTCAATATGCTGTTAAATATTATGTAATATTGCATCAAAATTTGAAAAAACCTATTTTGGGCACTGCTCCCATGANTCTACTTATCGTGTTATCGGTAAAAGTGCACGGCGACGGCGACGACGGCGACGGCGACGGCGACGACAGACGCAGATGATGGCTATATGTACAGACACATCTGTGTCTGTACATAAAAATGTATTCTTTATTATATGCATATGTAAAACGGCTTACATAGCCACGTTTTAGAACAAAGAGTAACTTTACATTGTAAACACGTGGTGTTACTGACCTTGGATCAAACCCATACACTGTGCAGCTCTTTGACATATATCTGTCGAAGGACCATTCATTTCCCAATCTGTACGCAAAACATAAACATAAAACATTAACATATAAGTTGTTTAATGCATAAGGATAAAGATCTTCATTTTATTTGCAGAATTTTTTAATTGATAAAACCCTTCAAAAAGAGTGCAAACTGGGCTAAACCTATCAATATTGGCCAACAGCTGATTATGCTTATTTCTAGATCAGGAAATGCAAAATGTACACATTTTTGGCTAAATGTATTACTGATGTAGCTAAAATTATTTTTGAATTAAAATTGGCAGTATCTAACCAGACATATACTGACTAGAACAATATTATCTAACAGAAACCACTGTAAATCTCTCTCTCTCTCTCTCTCTCTCTCTCTCTCTCTCTCTCTCAATATATATGGTTTCATTCATTCCTACCCAAAAGAATACACAAGACATGAGCCAGGTTTAATGGCAAACGGTGGGTCCATACAAACTTCCCAACCTCCGTCTTCAGAGATTCCAGCACGAACTCTATTACGGCAGTCGTACTGCTGGCGCATGAGATGGCTGCAATATATGAGAATTAAATAGTGAACAAATATATCTCAAAAATTCAAATTATAAATAAATAGAGGTATAAATGATAATAACAAATGAATACATATATAAAACACAGTTAAATAAACAATTTTACACAAAATTTTGATGAAATGTTAATGTATGTCAGTCCTTGCTTATAACCCATTACATTTAAACTACAAAAATCCTTAAATATATAGTTTAAAATAAAAATTTAAAAGGGACATCTTAAAAAAATGACTTACCCATAAAACCCTTTCTCTAGTCTGTCATATTCCTTTAATGTCATTTTTAACTTGGGTATAATCTTATTTCCATCACCCAGTAGGGGTGAAGCTATTTCCCCTCCTAGCTCTTCTTTAAAAAAGAACGGGTCCCCATACTGTTTGACATCGGTGTCATTTTTATCCCTTAACGTCGAGATTATTTCATCCATCAGATTGTATGATGTGACACCTGTGAGATGCTGAAATTAAAAAGAAATGAATAGTCTGGCTTTTTTACAAATAGCTACCAGGATTATTTAATTTCTGAGATATGAACGTTTGGCAAAAATAAGCATATTTAACATTTTCATTTCTTTTTTTTTTACTGGGCTAGATATCCAGGGCAGTGGCAATATGAAAAATCTAAATTTCGAGTTACACTGAGAGAGAGAGAGAGAGAGAGAGAGAGAGAGAGAGAGAAGCGAGAGCTAGCTAGCTTACCAAGTGGGGACCTTGAATTATCCACAAGAACATCAAAAGCACAACAATAATCCCAACTGAGAGGCCAACCATCACCTTTTGTGAAGGTGAACGGAAATGTAGGCCTTGGAAATTCATTGTGACACTGCAAGTCCAACTGGGTATCTCAGAATGTCACGGAGTTTTCTGGTAGCATACAATCTTCATAAATCCATGAAGCCATGGGTGGTTCAGTGGTGGGCTCTTTTCTCTTGTAGCAGGGGTACTAGTTATCCTAGCGTGCAATATCCCTTCATTAGTTATAGATCTGGTTAAGTTCTACTGCGGCTTCCGCATTCATTGTGCTGATCATACTGACGACAACTCCACGTAGCTAAAATGAAGAAATGAGGAGCTAATAACTGGAATTACCTGGAAATAAAAAGCATTCAGCAAATTAAGTTCATAAACTTAGGAATAATTATCTTACTTATAATTTTCTGATAGTACAGCTTCACAGTGTATATAAACGCCTTTTCACAGTGAGAACATATACTGTTAAGTACTGTGCTGTAGCTATATATGTACATGTAGTCAGGTAGTTAAAACGTGAAATAAAGTTGGAGTAACGTTGATCTATACGTACATGTACGTGTTATTACTGGTACTGAAACTGGGTGAACTGTTCTCTGGCGTCGACAAATACAACACCATGCAGCTGAATGTAAGCTAAACACAACCTGCTACCCAGTTAGTCCAGACTAGCTTCCTGGTCCAAATGAGATAACTTTACTTCAAAGTGACCACCGCTTTGTTATAGCAGGGGTTATAGTGGAAACGCCGCCATATTGTATCCATCGCCACCTGGCGGAGATTTTGAAAACTATTTGTTTAGCAGGTGCTCGCCCACTTTCACAGATAGATTAGCTGGCTATTGAGTACGAGGATAATAAAAGGGAGGTCCCTTGGTCTTTATGGTCAAATAATTTTGTTAGAATTTATATAAACACTTAGACGAATAAAGAGAGAAATAAGCGAGCTGGTCACTTTGTGAAAGGGAGAGAAACACCCCGTAGGCCTAAAAATAACAGGTTAAATTATTTTCCCCATATTTTCAAAAAGAGGAGACGAACAGCACAGCCAAGTGTACTAAACATAGATTATTCAAAGAAAACGCAGGAACAAACGTCTAAATTTACAGTATCAAGACCGTATTATTCGAAAACGAAAATAATATCTAGGCCGCTAAAATCTGTGATGCCTACTGTAGTATTATTTTTCAGCTAGGCCCTATATCTACAACATACCCCCTGTATCTGACATACAGGTAGGGACCTACGGCCTACTAACTACTAGTCTTATCAACGTAGCTTACCGTAAACCACACTTGCACGTGTAGGCCTATAGCCGCAGACAAACCAGACAAAACTGATCCTTTTTGTAAGTATATTTGTTGATCTACCCTATTTTTATTATTTTTAAAGGAAGCATGTGATAGGCTATGTAGGCCTTTTGGTTTGGTAAATGGCAAATTACATTGAAACCAGAAAAAAATATGTAATGCTTTTATTGCTGTTTTTTTTTTTTTTTTTTTTTTTTTTTAATCTAAATACTCAAATTGTGTAACCGACATGCCCATTCCTTAATAAAAAAAAAAAAAAAAAAAAAAAAACACCAACCTATCTTATTATTAAGCTGCTATGTTAGTAAGTTAAAAAAAATAAATTTCGCCTTCTTACAAATAAAATAGTCGCCGTTTGTTGATCAACTATTTTGTCTGTCCTCGCGGTGCTTTAAATATCAATGCTTGATAAAAGAAATTAACTAGGATCGAAAGGCACCATATACAGGAGCGTTTTTTTTTCCTTAAAAGTGGGATTGATAACTGTTTATGACTTTAGAATACTGGTACGTCAAGTTTGAAATATTCAGATTTTCTTAGATCAATACGAAAAATGAAATACAATATCACGCCTGGTGACTTCTATGTTGAGAGATGTAATGAACTAAAAGGATGACAAACATATGAAAAAAAATGACCTGGAGATCTTTAAAGAGCACAGCTTTCTGAATGAAAGTTTTACTTTAAGGGAAAACTGGTTATTAAAGAGAGGTCGCAAGCCCGGCTTCATGGGAATGTATCGAGGGCGTTATCAAAATCCTGCTCCGGATTTCATATTAATTTTGTGCCAGTAATTCGCTCCTTTAAATTTACGGCGCACCTGTATTTAAAAAAACATTGAGATCTTTGCAACCTGTTTTAATTTACGCATACAATATGAATATCGAGTGCTGTTTTGTCGATTTACAGAAACAAAGTTATCTACCTGAATGTAAATTGGTTATTAGTCATTGACACTAAGGCTCTGTTCTCACAACTTTTAGATCGATCTATCACCGCGGGGAGTCTCACTAGATTACTGTCAGATAATCCCCCTTAAGTGTCCGTCCCCGCCTACTACAAGCTTTAAGGGGTAATTAACTTTCGTGTCCGCCCGGCTGACAGCTATTTAGCGTGAACCCCCAGGGAGTTAGGTCGATCCAATGTAGGTCGATCTAATCTATGAGAATGGGGTGTA